CAAGATAATGCCTAAAATAAGGTTCTAAATTCTGAAGTTTACATGATCCTCTCGTGTGCACCCTTAACATTTAACATTTTTTGCTAATTGTCGTCAAAAATTAGGCGTAAAGCAAAAATTGATATTTCATATGGTTTTATGATAGATAAGCATTATATTGTTGCATGTTAAGTCGTGTCAATGATAGAAATTGAGAGCCTATTAATCGTCGAGGAAGTACGATTATTTTTTGGGCGAAAAAGTATCTTAAAATATGATTAGTAATATGTTTTTAAAATAAAAAATTTGAAAGTTAATTTGAGATTCTCATATAATTTTTTGAATGAAAAAAATAAATATAGTCTATATGAGTTTTTGAATAATCACACTTGAGATATATCTAAAAAATAATTAAAAATAGAGTTTGAGAAGACTTTTCAAGGTGTAATGAAAAGTGTGATATAGAAAATAATTATAGATATTTTAATTTTATATATTGTGCTAAGCATTATATTAAATTTTTAGGAAAAACACTTTTCATAAGTATTCAATATTTGAAAATACGCTCCAAAAAAGAATAGATTCTTTTATATTCGCTTATATAAAAGGAGACTCTCTATCAGATGCGAATGCCTGAATTCAGCACCTCTGATAGAGAGTTTCCTCTTATATAAGCAAATCTTTTCATTCGTTTTTGTTAATATAAAAACATCAAAATCTACCAATATGAGAAATTAAACCCTGCGAGGCACCAGTCTAGAACTGGCACTTCGCAGGGTTGAATTTCTCTTGACAAAATACAATAATCAAATGCTCCAAAGTTTTCAAATTTTTATTAGGAATAGGAGCCTACAAAGCACTGATTATATATCAGTGCCTGGTAGGCTCCTATTCCTTCTCTAAATGGGAGAAACTTTGTTTGAATAAGATAACATGCGAACAAAGTTTCTCCCATTTAGAGTGGGATTTGGAGGGTGGGAGGTACATAGATAGACTATGTATCTCTCACCCTCCAATTCCCTCGGGAAAGTTCGAAAACTCGGTCGCAATCAGATGCAATTGCGACCGAGTTTTCGAACTTTCTATTAGGAATAGGAGCCTACAAAGCACTGATTATATATCAGTGCCTGGTAGGCTCCTATTCCTTCTCTGAAGCTGGGAAATTTTGTCTGAATAGTTTAACATTTGGACAAAATTTCCCAGCTTCAGAGAAGGAATTGGAGGGTGAGAGGCATATAGGCATACTATATACCTCTCACCCTTCAATTCCCTCGGGAAAGTTCGAAAACTCGGTCGCAATCAGATGCAATTGCGACCGAGTTTTCGAACTTTCTATTAGGAATAGGAGCCTACAAAGCACTGATTATATATCAGTGCCTGGTAGGCTCCTATTCCTTCTCTAAATGGGAGAAACTTTGTTTGAATAAGATAACATGCGAACAAAGTTTCTCCCATTTAGAGTGGGATTTGGAGAGTGGGAGGTACATAGATAGACTATGTATCTCTCACCCTCCAATTCCCTCGGGAAAGTTCGAAAACTTTGGTGCAATCAGCAACGATTGCACCAAAGTTTTTGCGTTTAATTGAAGGAATTGCTCTTTATGATATATACAGTTACAATGCATATATCATAAGGAGCAATTCCTTCCAGATATCTGGCAAACTTGCTCGCAATGGTTCACAATTGCGAACAAGTTTTGTCATTTGTCAAGAGAAATTCAACCCTGCGAAGTGCCAGTTCTAGACTGGTGCCTCGCAGGGTTTAATTTCTCATATTGGTAGATTTTGATGTTTTTATATTAACAAAAACGAATGAAAAATATTTGCTTATATAAGAGGAAACTCTCTATCAGAGGTGCTGAATTCAGGCATTCGCATCTGATAGAGAGTCTCCTTTTATATAAGCGAATATAAAAGAATCTATTCTTTTTTGGAGCGTATTCTCAAATATTGAATACTTATGAAAGGTGTTTTTTTCTAAAAATCTCAGAATATATTTACAATAGTAAAATAAATAAGATATTTAAATTTATTTTTAAATGCTTTTTTTTTATATGAGATTCTCAAAAGTTATATCAAAAGTCTGTTTTTTCTAAAATCTAATATCATAATCTATTTCTCATTTTAAGTACATTTTAATTCATTTTATTTTTTATATTTTTTCAATATTTTTGAGGGAATTGTGTTGCTTGCCAGACGATAAAATTGAGAGGTTTACACATTGACACTACTTAGCATGTAACAATATTCCCACTCATTATATTCGTAAATTTTGAGGTTTATCCTTCGCTTTTAAGATCATTGAATTTGATTTTTATATAAAATAGTTATATATTAGAAAATAATATGAGTTTATGTGATATTATTTTTCAGAAGATTTCATTCTATATGCCTATGAAAAGTACTCTCAAAACTAACTTTTTCCTAATTATAATTAAATCTAGAATATTGTATTATGCTTAGTATTATTTCATATTTCTCATTCAATTTAGAATTTACAAATGTCAAAAAATTGAGAGCTGTCACTTTTGATGAATTTCTGTTTATTACAATCGTAAACAAATTATTCCGATTTTTCAATTTTTCGAAAATTGTTCATGACTGATAATCGATTATTGATAAATCGAAAAAAGGCATTCGTTAGCAAATGAAAATCCGATTTGCGCTGATTTAGGATAGTTAATCCCATTTCAATGTTTCTCAATTCTTTCAATTCAATTGAGAATTTTGAATTTTCAAAGGATTAATATACGGTTATATTTTTTATAAATGCAATGCTCTATAAAAGGACAAATAAAATATTTAAATTTGGTTAAGGTAATCAAAAATAAAACGTCTCATTTTTCAAAATGCAGTGCTCTGAGGACTGGAGGCAAATAATATTATTTAACGAAAAAGGCCGAAAGAGATTTACAAAAGAAGAGGACAACTGTATCAGGGAAATGGTCAATAAATATGGGGAGCATAATTGGGATTTAATTGCTGAAAAAATGAATAAAAGATCAGCAAGGCAATTGAGGGAGAGGTGGAGACACTATTTGTCCCAAAATATTACTAAAAATCCATGGAATTCAGAAGAAGATTTTATTTTAGAATATGTTTATTCGCAAATTGGTCCTAGATGGAGTACTATTGCGTTATATTTACCTGGAAGAACAGATGTTAATGTCAAAAATAGGTGGACTTTACTTGAAAGAAGGAAATCAAAAATTTTTCAAAATAATATGAAAATCCAAAACTCCTACCTTGAAATGAAGGCCCAAAATCCAACAATTGCAAATAATGTTAATACATCGGTTGAATGTAATTCAAGTGAGAAAAATTCTCATATCATGGGTAATACTAATGAAATAGATTTATTTGGAACATTTACAGACCAATATGATCAAGAATTCATACAGGAAATATCTACAATTTTTAATTATGTTAACTAATTTTTCATAAAGATAAAATAATTACTTTTAATTTTAAAACAAAATAGATCGAACTATTTAAATACGAGTGTTTTTTTAAATACTTAACTGTCAAATAAAGAAAAACACAGTTTTGAAATATTATGATTTTCGAAATTAAATATTCTCATAATATCTTTGGGCGTTAGACAATGATTATAAGCATAATGTGTTCTTTGTGATTCAATGGCGCATATTTCAGTGTTCTTTTCAAATTAACTTATTTAAAAAACAAGTAATTTAGATTGCCATAATGATTATACAAATGTTTTTCCGAATAAAGATTTTATGAATTCATTCAAAATAATAACTTTTGATAGCGAATTAATTATAACCGATTCAATATGATACAGAAAATTTTCTTATGAAATAATGTTATTATCATTATTTGTGTCTACATGTGACTCTCTATTATATATTAGTCTTTCGGAAATGATCTTAACGGTTATAGAAGTTCACAATTGAACAGGCATAACGTGCTTTAATTATTATTGATTTTAATGAAAAGCTATTATTGATTTAAAATTTTGATATAAATAATATTAAAAATAACCATTATTTTTGGTTGGTGTTTTATAATAAAAGGCATTCTCTATCTTTAACCATCGCAAATAATTTGCTTTGGAGTGTAATTTGAAACTGTATTTCGTTAGAGTGAATTAAACAGCCTTTAAAATCAAAAACATTTTGATAATTAGTTATACTTTATATATCTCATTCTGAAAATATAAATTAAATTTAAACATGAGAATTATTTACAATCGAATTTTATTGTATTGTTTAATTTCATCAAAGCATATCACAATTCATTTAAAGAGTAATTAGACTATTAGTATATTATATTTACACATATTTACTCATAATATAAATTTCACATTAATTTGTATTTGTCCGACAGTTCGAAATGTTGATAGTATAAAATTAAACTCTGTTGCTAATATGGTTACATTGTTTATATGAAATAGAAGAAGTTTTTTCCATTCGTGTAAACTAAATGCGTATTTGAGTAAGACATATCGAATATTGGGCTTAATGGCTGAATCACATAGCATTTTCCAAAGATACTGACAGATAATTTCTAATTATTTTCCAAAATTGATTTTGGCTATTTTAATTAGAAATTCATCTATGATATAAGATAAAAAGTCGGGATAAAAGATTATTTATTTATCCTAATATTTATGAGTTTGAAAATTTCTTGATTTCTTTATTTTTGAGTTGGTAGCATGTTTTATCCATATTGCTATATTATATTTTGAATCATAACTTCTAATATGTTAATTATATTTTTATCAGAAATTTGGGGAGGGTCAATGCATTATCGCTCTTGAATTCCATTGGTATTATAGTATTTATGCATGTTTGTGAGTGAATGAAGAGGTTTTGTTATTTTTGAAAAAAAAATTAGAAGAATTTCAAAATTAAAAAGGATGAATTAAAAAGGCAATGAATAAATTTAAGGGATAGATAACAGGATAGTTTAATATAAGATAGTATATAATATAAAGATAAGGATAAGGATAAAGTCTATTAATGTTAAATGTTTTGTAGTTTTTTCGTTGAAGTTACTTACTGGAAGTATGTCTTCTTGTGTGGGATCTCTGGGTTAAAGATGACCTTTCCGTTCAATGGTGCGCAGAATGCACTGCTGCCGTCTTCGCTGAGGTGAACACTGAGGCGAAGGCGTGCTGGAACACTTTGTACGTGTGGGCTCTTGAGTGTGAATTCTTGGCTGACAACTGTGTTAGCTTCGAAGGCAGAGAGGCGGAGCTCAACTTCACCGATCTCTTCGTCACCACCGAAGAGGTGCTTCTTGAAGAGAACAACGACAAATGAAGCGCGTGCTGGATCGGTGTATTTGAAGTCCCATGTCTGTGTTGGTCTGTACTTCTCAGTGAATTCAGCACCATGGCGCATGAATGTGGATCTTGGACCAACACGTGCAACGAGTGTTGTCTTTCCGTTTGTTGGGAAGCTGCCTGTGCTGACTCCATCAACGCGGATGAAAGCACGGTTTCCGTTCATGAGTGGCATGTAATCGTAGTTATTCATCATGTCTAGCAACTAGAAAAATGATGACTTTTATTTCCTCAATTTTTCTGAATCGACGGTAAATCAGGTTTTCAGAGCAAATTAGGTCATTGTTTCTGAGTATCACTCAATTTATATCCCCAAATTTATCATTATTTGTATTTATCATATAACTATTTAAAATTTATTAATTTTATTGATTTGATTTTGGGAATCAATCATTTTTTTTGAGAGCCAAAAAATCGTTCGTGAAAATTTGAGAACAAAATTTCAAAGGATTTACAGCTTGTTATCGATTAGAAAATTCTTGAAATATTTAACATACAATAGAACTGTGATATATTAAAAACAAAATCACGTTGATCGTTCTTTTAATAAAATAACTATTAAAGTGGATCTAATCTTGAAAATTGCAAGTAAAAAGCTGTGACATATGATTAACAATATCATTTATTAAGTAATATTGTAATAAACAAAAATTCATCAAAAGTGACAGCTCTCAATTTTTTGACATTTGTAAATTCTAAATTGAATGAGAAAAATGAAATAATACTAAGCATAATACAATATTCTAGATTTAATTATAATTAGGAAAAAGTTAGTTTTGAGAGTACTTTTCATAGGCATATAGAATGAAATCTTCTGAAAAATAATATCACATAAACTCATATTATTTTCTAATATATAACTATTTTATATAAAAATCAAATTCAATGATCTTAAAAGCGAAGGATAAACCTCAAAATTTACGAATATAATGAGTGGGAATATAATGCTTATCTATCATAAAACCATATGAAATATCAATTTTTGCTTTACGCCTAATTTTTGACGACAATTAGCAAAAAATGTTAAATGTTAACACTCAGTCCATTTGAATATGAAAAATAAAATTGACTTTGATTAAATGTTTTTATTTATCATGCAATTCTTCTTGCGACCAAAGATTTGAATAAAACTTAAAAAAATAAGATAGCTTAAAAAATAATATACGGTAGTGTTTACTAATAGATGAATAGTATATAAATTCTATTAAAATGGATTTGATCCAAAAAAATATAAAACCAAAAATAATTGTTATAATTTAAATGAAGAAGTAATTTAAAACGATTTTATTTATGATCAAATTTTATATATTTTTTTGGATCAAATCCATTTTAATAGAATTTATATACTATTCATCTATTAGTAAACACTACCGTATATTATTTTTTAAGCTATCTTATTTTTTTAAGTTTTATTCAAAACTTTGGTCGCAAGAAGAATTGCATGATAAATAAAAACATTTAATCAAAGTCAATTTTATTTTTCATATTCAAATGGACTGAGTGTTAACATTTAACATTTTTTGCTAAGTGTCGTCAAAAATTAGGCGTAAAGCAAAAATTGATATTTCATATGGTTTTATGATAGATAAGCATTATATTCCCACTCATTATATTCGTAAATTTTGAGGTTTATCATTCGCTTTTAAGATCATTGAATTTGATTTTTATATAAAATAGTTATATATTAGAAAATAATATGAGTTTATGTGATATTATTTTTCAGAAGATTTTGTGTTCTTCTTCAAAATTTTATTTTTTTTTATTAAAAAGAATCTTTACAAAATATACATTTACTTTAATTAATATTTAAAAACGTGCTCTATCAAAAGTTCCAAAAATTCAATATTTTAGCTTTTCTGAGGTGTCACTTTTGATGAATTTCTGTTTACAACACATTTATTAAGTAATAGCAATATTGGCTGAAAAACTAAATTAAATAAAGTAGATAAAGAACAGCTAAATTGTCTCTCAAAAAATTGAATAAATTAAATAACGGAAAATTTTGATTTTAAGGGTGCGCCCGGGAGGATCATGTAAACTTCAGAATTTAGAACCTTAATTTTTAAGCAATAACTTGGTACCTAAATAGGTAGGAAAACTCTAAAAATATCAAAAAATATAACTTGGCTCCATAATAATCCTGTCATGGTGGCTGTTTGTATCCCCTAGTATTTTCCTCTTGAATCTCTTTTTCTGTCGAAATTAAATTCAAATCTCAGAAGTAGAAGTGAATAATCGACTTATTACTGCTATTATACGAATAAATAAATTCATTATATTATTTTTATTTACATAATATCTGTTTGAAGTCCATAATTCTATAAATTTTTCTTTAAAAACATTACAATCTTGATAGTTTTGATACTGTTTAATAGGTTTTTGGCACCTTATTTAGTATTTACTACGTATAGAGTCGATCTGAACTTAATTTTCGGAAATTTAAAATATTTATTATAAGTAAAATCTGATTTGAAATTTATGTTTAACTACTCATATTTTGCATTATCCTGAGTAGCTTTTGTAAAAATTCATCAAAAAAGATTTTAACGTGCTTTAATTTTTATTTTTTAAAATAATGCATATTATTATATAACTAGCATATTTACAAATTTTAGTGCTTTCAAAAATTTAATCCTCCTCCTCTCAAATAAACGTACACCCGGGTGGCCTGTTTTTTGCAAAAAATAAAATTTCATTTTTTATGCTTAAGGGTGCCCTATAACGATAATGTAAACATCACAAAATTAACCTTATTAGAACTCGAATGAATGGATTATCCGGATTCTAGTTCTCAATATAATAACCTTAAAAGTGCTTTTCTGAGGGTGGTCTATCGTCTATAGGGCACCCTTAAAAAGTCATAATTTTTATTTGCTTCTGGGATATATGATGGCTATATCAGATGCCCATTCTTTTTGATACTCAACATTAAACATAAAACTTAGCCGTTAAGGCTCTTTTGAAAATATTTTTTTTCCGAAAAATTTTCGAAAAAAATCAAAAAATTTAAAAATCCCCGAATCTGCAGGGATTTTAAAAAATTCTTTTTAGTAAAACTTCAGGATATTGTATCAGATATATTGGTATGGGCAAATTCAATTTTAATCCAATATTCATCGAGATATTAAGTTAACGAAGCTTTCAAAATTGAGAGGGTAATCCTCCTCCTCTCAAATAAACGTACATGCGGGTGCACCCTTAATAAATATTGATGAATTTAACATTTGTATATCATGAATATTACATTAATTTTTGTCTCAGAAACAATGACCTAATTTGCTCTGAAAACCTGATTTACCGTCGATTCAGAAAAATTGAGGAAATAAAAGTCATCATTTTTCTAGTTGCTAGACATGATGAATAACTACGATTACATGCCACTCATGAACGGAAACCGTGCTTTCATCCGCGTTGATGGAGTCAGCACAGGCAGCTTCCCAACAAACGGAAAGACAACACTCGTTGCACGTGTTGGTCCAAGATCCACATTCATGCGCCATGGTGCTGAATTCACTGAGAAGTACAGACCAACACAGACATGGGACTTCAAATACACCGATCCAGCACGCGCTTCATTTGTCGTTGTTCTCTTCAAGAAGCACCTCTTCGGTGGTGACGAAGAGATCGGTGAAGTTGAGCTCCGCCTCTCTGCCTTCGAAGCTAACACAGTTGTCAGCCAAGAATTCACACTCAAGAGCCCACACGTACAAAGTGTTCCAGCACGCCTTCGCCTCAGTGTTCACCTCAGCGAAGACGGCAGCAGTGCATTCTGCGCACCATTGAACGGAAAGGTCATCTTTAACCCAGAGATCCCACACAAGAAGACATACTTCCAGTAAGTAACTTCAACGAAAAAACTACAAAACATTTAACATTAATAGACTTTATCCTTATCCTTATCTTTATATTATATACTATCTTATATTAAACTATCCTGTTATCTATCCCTTAAATTTATTCATTGCCTTTTTAATTCATCCTTTTTAATTTTGAAATTCTTCTAATTTTTTTTTCAAAAATAACAAAACCTCTTCATTCACTCACAAACATGCATAAATACTATAATACCAATGGAATTCAAGAGCGAATACTCAATTATATATAACCTGATATCATTTGAAATCAATAGCTGCAAAGATCAGTACAGAACATTGTCAAGTGCTTTAAATAGCAATTGACATATCGAAGCACGCGCCAATTCAGTAAATTACAATGATTGTTGAAATCAAATTTATTAATTTATCTTTAATTTTTATAGAATTATTAATATAGCTATTACTAAGCTATATACATTGTTTTTACTAGCTTGTATTCCTATGTTTTAACATATTGTTATCAATTGTCTATCTTTTTGATATTTTATAATGTAGAAGTCGTTCATATAGCCAACAATAGAATACGCATGAACAGGTAGGTTATTTTAGTAACCAAAGCAAATCTGAAAATAATTTGGGAAAATTCATGGTGTCCAAAAATATTTGAAAGAAGATATGAGAAAGAATGTCTTTATATATTTAGAAAACAAAATATAATAGCATAAATTATTTGTATTGCCTTAATGAAACTATATCTTTTAATTCCTTCAAAGTGTGTTTGTTTCCTAGGGATACTTCACTAATATATCCAAGGCATCCACGTTTTCCACCAAGGAAACGGTCTATCATTGCTCCGTGTTGTATTAAGTAAATTGCGATATCAGGTTGGAAAACTACAGCAAAATGCAAAGGAGGTTTCTTTGTAATTGTTAATCGATTTGGATCCGCACCATGATCAAGAAGAAGTTTAACAGCATATAGATTCGAATCTGTTCTGCATTCATCTTCTATTCTTGGATTCATTGATATTTCTCTAGGACAACCGCATTTAAAATGCAGAATTGTTATTCCATCCCAATAAGTTGCATTTGGATCTGCTCCACATTCCAAAAGTGCTTGAAATACATTTATCTGGTTAACCACTTGGAGTAGTTTCATTCCTTGATTATTAGTTTTATTTATATCGCACCCATGACTAGTAAACAAATGAATTACTTTCTTACAATCATCAACAGTTTCAAATTTAGAAGATTTCAAATAATGTAAAGCACAATTTCCATCATTATCTACTTGTGTTGCATCATAGCCATTTTCAAGAATATATTCGTACTTCGAGTATTCAGTAATTCTCATGAACGGCTTCGAATAAAAGAAGATGTTTCTCTTTACATCATCTTCCATTGAATCAAAAAGAATTTCGAAATATTTGAATCTAAAAATATTGCAACTTCCAGGGATAAAATTATTGAGATGGTTTTCAAATCTTCTTATTAATATATCAACAATTTCATCAGATACAGAACCACCATTGTAGTTATTGATTAGATTAGTAAATAACATGTTCTTATCTATTTCTTCTATATTATCAAGCTTTTCAAGTAAATTTACTAGCAATGATTTGTCTTTTGTATTTATCGCAATTGTTTCTAAAAATTTTCTTTCTAAAATGATTTCTTTTGTCAATTGGCAGCCAGCACTTTCAAGCAACTGAATGGATTTCAAACTATTAGCATACCTTAATGGATTTAACTCATCCTTTTGTGCTAAAAAGCCTTTTGTATCATAAACCATTTCAAGCAATCTAAAATCATAAAAAATCCAATTAATGTCTTTTTCAGAAATTTCCTTGAACTCAACAAACTTTTCAAGAATAAGACGACACAAATCTATATTTAGACACTTGATAGCCTGATGTAATACTTCATAATGTGTAGCATTTGGATGTGCTTCTTTCATTACGAATTCATATAAATCAAAAGGAAACAATGAAATTAATTTTGCTGACGGATCAAATTTTGCTCCTTTCATAATCAAGTACTTCATTACATTATATCTTTCAGCTTCTGCTGCACATTGAACAGCTGTATATCCATCACTTGTCATTATATTTATGTTTATTCCTTTGTCAATGAGATATTTAACGATATCTAAATGTCCTTGTGTTGCTGCTTCAATAAAACAGTTGTATTTCCTTTTGGAGCGATTGTAAGTAGCTCCTGCATCAACTAATGCTTTAACACATGATAAAGAACCAGCTCTTGCTGCATGAACAATCGCTGTGTAGCCATCTGGAGCAATTTCATCTATTTTTGCATTTATTTTAATAAGAAAGTTGACAACATCAACGGATCCGATGGAAGCCGCATGCATTAAACATGATTTATTAAATACTATAGTGTTTAGGAACTCTTTGTACTTTGGATATTGTTTATAAATAAATTTTACAATTTCAACACATCCTGATGCGCAGGCCGCATGGAAATATGGACGCAGTTTGTAAAAATCTTCGTCTTTTGAGAAATCAAAGCCCTTTGACCACATATATTTTACGGCATCAAAATTTCCAAAGATAATAGCGTATAACATGGGATCTAGTGAACTGATTCTGCGGGCTAAACTATATGGCGTGAATTCTTCTTGAAAATTTGTAAATTTGCGTAGAATTGCTAAATTTCCTCCAGCTGCAGCAAAGGAGCGAACAGTTTGGCCACAGCCATCTTTAGATTCTATATTTTCGTTCATGTTGATGAGGCAATCATAGTATTTTTCTGCTCCAAAGAAGGCCGCTATATGTATCGGAAAAGGTCGAAGACTAACCAACTTAGGATATACATAATCTGTCGGTCTTTGAAGGCATAAATCAGGACTCGGATAATTTGAAAGGATTGCAGCTAATTCATCTGCATTATCTTCAATTATACATTGAAATATTCGATTTGAATCTTCATTACTGTAAGAATCTGTTTCTAAACTCCTCAATCGTATTGGTCTCGTAAACGAAAAAGAGGATTTGACGCAGTCAAATCCTTTCTCTCAAAAAGTGGACTTTACATGGCAAAATTCAAATGCATGTAAGGTCCACTTTGATCAGTTTCAGGATGGAATTGGAGGCCATGAGGTACTGACATTGCATCAGTATCTCATAGCCTCCAATCCCTTCAAAAAATATTCGGCCAAAGTTTCTCCCATAATTAATGAGAATGAAAGGGTAAGAGGCATATAGGGTCACTATATACCTCTTACCCTTTCATTTTCATTTGGAGGTCAACAAATTTGGAGTTAATTGCAAACAATTAACTCCAAATTTGTTTATGTTAAGGAAGGAATTGGAGGGTAAGAGGTACATAGTATGAATAGTACTTTACCCTGCAATTCCTTCTCGAAAGTTCCAAAAACTTTGGGTTAATTGCAAATATTAACCCAAAGTTTTGGGAACTTTCAAAGTGGAGATGGAAGGCTTTGGGGTATACATTAATATAATATACCTCAAAGCCTTCCATCTCCACTACAAATGGGAGAAACTTTGTCCGAAGAGTTTAACATTCGGCAAAGTTTCTCCATCTTTCAATGTAATTGCTACCTGTGAGGTACTGATTTGAAGTCAGTGCTTCACAGGTAGCAATATCCAAAAATTTAAAAACTTTTATCAGTTCGTTAGAGAATAGAGCCTCTAGGTAACTGAACCAGAATCAGTGCCTAGGGGACTCTAGTGATCTATATAAATCTGAGAAACTTGAGGAAATTGTTCGACATTTCCTCAGTTTCTCAGCAATTTAGCGAGGAATGTTCGTTATCGTGTAGATATTTAATAATATATACATGATAACAAACATTCCCCGCTAAAGATGTAAAATCTTATAAAGAAAAAATTGCAAAAGAATAACAAATTGCAAAAAATTTTATATGAAACTGAACCTTATGAGGTAGTGATTCAAGATCACCGCCTCATAAGATTCAGTTTCAATCTCAAGTATCTCAAAAGTAAGGCTCTATTTTTTGCCATGTAAAGTGTCATTTTTCTGTCAAACCATTTTTATCGTTTTCGTTTACAACATTGGAGGACCTAATTTCCTGATAAACTCCATTAAATTTTTAAATCAAAAGATTTCGAGATTTTCCAAAAGTGACAATTAAATTAACTCTTTTGCGTTATCAGCAATAAAATAGCAGAATAATCATGTGTGTGTGTCTGTGTTGTTGAATTTAGCAAGATATTTATTTAATAATTCATTTGATAAAATTTTCATTGGATGATTCTGGCAACACAGTTCTTGAGTTGATTTCTCTAACCCCTTTGTCAAATAGATTATGAATGGAGAAGGCAGAATAGAATTGATGTTAACGTACAATTCCAACAAATACTATTATGTGTATTGCCTATGAGAAGTCTATTATTTCTTTTGTGTCTTAGAAATGTTCTTGAGAGCCAGACAAGAAAAATAATGCTTGATAAAACCAATATTTAATAAGAAAACAATGTAAAATAATGCATGCAATCGTTATTATTATTTTGATGAAACTAAATCAAATAAATCTTTCCTAATTTGTTTCTTGGGAGGAAGTTCTCTTAAATATTTAAGAAGATGTTCTTTTCCTCCAGGAAATAGATTTATATCCGCACCACGTTGTATCAAGTAAAATGCAATTTCAGGATGATAATAAACTGTATAAAATAGTGGTGGTCTCTTAAATTTTGCAGTGTTTAAACTATTTGGATCTGCACCATAATCAAGAAGAAGTTTCACTGCATATAGATCTGCGTGAATTTCGCTATAATAAGGATCATATAGGTAGCCGCATTTCATATGCAAAATTGTAGCATAATCATACCCAATTGCATTTGGATCTGCACCACATTCCAAGAGAGCCTGAAAAGCATTGATATTTTTGACTTTGAAAATTGGTGTGCAATTATTAATTGAAAAAAAATAAATCAAAAAAAATATATTTTTGAGGGGAAGTTTATAGATTAAGTAGTTGTAAACTTTGCTTTAGATTTATTGTTTTTAATAACCCATTCAAGCATCGAAGATAACAATTTCATTATGTGATAATTTGGTATTTATGTCACATCCATGGCTGGTAAATAATTTGATAAGTTTCTTGTATTCATCAACTGTTGCATGATTTGTACTTTTCATATAATGTAAAGGGCAATTTCCTTTTTCGTCAATTTCACTTGCATCAAAACCATGATTAAGTATATATTCATAATTATCATAATATTTGGTCTCCAATGCAGCTCTGGTATCAAAAAATATGCTATTCTTTGATGATTCATCCATTGAATCAAAAAGAACACGAAAGTATTTGAATCCAAAAATCTGGCATCTTTCTGGTTGAAAATTAGTAATGCGATCTTTAAATCTTTCCATTATTATATCAACAATTTCTTCAGTTACTTCCCCTTTATCAAATGCATTGATGAGATTAGTAAATAACGAATTCTGATTTAATTTTCCAATGTCATCAATTTTGTCAAGTAATTTCAAAGCAAGATCTCTATCTTTTGTCTTTGTTACAATTCGCTCAATTATTTGTCCTTCTATGATAGCTTCTTTCTTCAATACACAGCCAACGCTTTCAAGCATGTTTATATATTTTAGATTTCCTGCGTAGTGTATTGGGTCTATCATATCAAATACTTTCAGAAAACCTTTTGTGTTGTAAACTTTTTCAAACATTTTTGATGTTTTGAAAAAACTCCAGTGATTATATTCAGGAATATCTTTGAGATCTATATAGTTATCTAGAAGATGTCCAACTAAAGCAGCATTTGAATCTAAGATTGCACTTGTGCATATATCCTTAAGCGGCATTTTGATATCATTTTGTTTCTTAAAAATTTCAAATAATTCTGGTGAAAATTCTGCTATAAAATATTTGTCTGGCACATATTTTGCTCCTTTCATTAATAAGTACTTCAATACATCAAATTTTTTCGCTTGTGCCGCGCACATTGCTGCTGTCTTTTTATCTCTTGTTGAGACATTGATGTTGATACCTTTATCGAGAAGATATTTAACAATGTCTAAATGTCCTTGTGTCGCTGCTTCAACAAAACAATTGTATCTCCTGTTACCATTTTTATAAGTTGCACCTGCTTCGATTAATGCTTTAACACATGATAAAGAACCTGATCTTGCTGCATAAACAATTGCAGTAAATCCTTTTTTAGTAATATCATCTGTATCAAAACCAAGTTTGATAAGATACTTAACAACATCAACAGATCCTGCAGCTGCTGCATGCATTAAACAATTCATTTCGATAATTGTCATATAAAAGTAATCTTCGAATTTGGGATATTGTTCATAAAGAAATTTGACAACATCAATATACCCTGATGCACAAGCTGCATGAAAATAAGGTCTAAGTTCGTATTCTTCTCTACTTAGTGAGAAATTATAGCCTTTTGACCAAATGTATTTGATACAATCAAAATTTCCATAAATTATGGCTAACATCATTGGATCAATTGTAAGTTTGGTACCTGGAAAAGGGTAAGATAAAATATACATTGAAAAATCTGAAAATTTCCGCAAAATAAACCCATGATTAAGTTTGTTATAAATTATCATTCATAACATAAAATGGTTTATGTCTGTTTTTAGATTTTGAATATGACTGAATCAAATTGTAACTGAAATTGAAATCTCTTCCTTTCTATCTATTGTATGAGATCTCATCCTTCTCCAGCGTTATTTAATTTTAAGAACAAGAGAAAAAAAATCCATGTATTTTTGGGTTTTACGTCTTAATGATACATATTTTAAAAAACATGAATAAGAAAGATGATTTTTTATTTAACAATTCAAATGTTATGTTTTCATTGGTTAATGCGAGCAACACCACACTTGATGGCAGCTTGAGCAACAGCCTTTGAGACAGTTTCTTTGATTCTCTTGTCGAATGGGTTAGGAAGTATGTAATCTGGGTTGAGTTCTTCGTCTGAGACGAGTGAAGCGATTGCGCGTGCTGCGGCGATGTTCATTTCGTTTGTGATGCGTGATGCGCGGACATCGAGTGCACCGCGGAAGAGAGCTGGGAAAGCGAGAACGTTGTTTATCTGGTTAGGGAAGTCTGAACGACCTGTGCCAACAACAGCAGCACCAGCAGCCTTTGCGAGGTCTGGCATGATTTCTGGTGTTGGATTTGCCATTGGGAATACAATTGCTTTGTCAGCCATCGATTTGACCATGTCCTCTGTGAGTGTCTTTGGTGCAGAAACACCAATGAAGACGTCAGCACCCTTGATGACTTCTGCAAGTGTACCTTGTTTAAGTTCTGAGTTTGTGATCTCTGCCATCTCAACTTTGATGTCGTTCAAGCCAGAGCGGCCTTTGTAAATGGCACCTTGTCTGTCAGTGAGGATGACGTTCTTTGGATTGACACCGACAGCGATGAGGAGCTTGATGATAGCGATACCTGCAGCACCAGCACCACTTGTGACAACTTTGATCTCTTCGATCTTCTTTCCAACAATCTTGAGTGCGTTGAGAAGAGCAGCGAGTGTAACAATGGCTGTGCCATGCTGGTCATCGTGGAAGATTGGAATGTCGCAGATCTCTTGGAGTTTCTTCTCGATTTCGAAGCAGCGAGGAGCAGAAATATCTTCAAGGTTGACACCACCAAATGAACCTGCAAGTAGTGAAACAACTTTGACAATATCGTCAACACTCTTAGAACGAACGCAAAGCGGGATTGCATCTACATCACCGAAGCGTTTGAAGAGTAATGCTTTGCCTTCCATAACTGGCGTGCCTGCTTCTGGACCAATATCACCTAATCCAAGAACAGCTGTGCCATCTGTAACAACAGCAACTGTGTTCCAGCGGCGTGTGAACTCGTATGAGAGATCTGGATTCTTCTGGATCTCAATGCATGGCTGTGCAACACCTGGTGTGTATGCAAGTGACAAATCTTCGCGATCTTCAACTTTGCAGCGAACAACTGTTTCAATCTTGCCGCGCCATTCCTTGTGCGCGGCAACTGAGAGAGATGCGTAGTCTTTCTTAACTGACATGTGCTAAAATGAACTAATGATTTTAGTTCTCAATTAGATTCATAGACAGTAGGTCGGCAATTGAGAAAACTCATTGAATAATACTTATCTCCTTTCAATCTTGATTTTATCAAATTAACTGCATAATTTTGATGTTCATACTTCATTGATTAAAAAACTTGATTTTGCCTTATATCAAAATTTTCTCCATTCAAAAATTTTAAGTCAATTCAATTTTGGGAAACCCATCATAGCACAAATACATTATATTTATTTCGCTCATAAAAAATACTCGATTTTTGTAATTTTTGTGAATAAAATTTTCCCTTTCATTCCCTTTTTCCTTTCCGAACATTCGTTTTATCCATCGTCAGAAAATGAAATTATATGTTTGTGATGCATCTAGCAATACTATTTGAGGTGTTTAAAATTTGTTTTGGTTTTGAAAATTCAAAAATGCGTTCAATTGATAGACAAAAATATGAAGAATATATCTGCAATTAGCAAGTGATAAATAATTTTCAGAAATAACAAAATAATATTGAGCAGAATAACCATAAGAAATTAATTTATGTGGCAATGATAGAATTTGATCATATAAATATTCATAAAAATGCATATACAAATATACTATATTCATCTTTCTGTATTAATCAGTCTTTTTGATCCTCATTTTTTTTAACCGAATATATTTCGCCAATTACAATTGAAAATTATCATACACATACCAAAATATAAATATTAGAGAAGCAAATGATCAATGACATATCAAATAATAAAATATCAGAAATTTAAAATAAAATTAAGTGATTACATATGGATAATAAATTTACTTGGTCATAATTTTGATAGTTATCCAATTTAAAATAGCTTTATAACATACCCCTTTTTTTTGGTGAAATTTTGATGGTTTGGTGGTCACAGAAACGTGACTATTGAATGGAGGAACCTAATTCAGGCTGATAATGGATATATATATAATTAATTCACCAAAAAAAAAGGATATGTTAAACAAAAGACAATTTATCAATAATAAACAAAACAATATATATAAAAAAACAAAATCATTTGAGGAGTGGTGCTTCTAAACCAACTTCCTCCATCATAACATAAGGATCAGGTAATTCGTCAATTGCAATGCCTACGAACCTCTCAACAGTGTTGACAAGTGTAACAGGCATGATCTTGCAGTGTTTTTCAAGTGGTTCAGAGAGATATTGTTGCATAATAACAATATTTGGCCTCAAAACCGACAACATTGATCCGAATTCGCTCATTTTAGTGATGAACGGGTCGGTTGTCATCCAAGGACTGAACTGATTCGACTCTTTTGCCGGAATTTCCTTTCCATCGTACTGTTTCGGGGCTGGAGGTGGCAAACTCTGCACGACTTCGAAGCATCCATCTATATCCAACATGACGGATACCTGTGTGCATCCTTTGCTGCAACCTTCCAAGAATTCTTTGATAAATTTGAGAGCTCTTACTCTGTGCATCTTTGTATTATCAGAGTTGCCATATACAATCAATGTATACGATCCTGTGCTTGATAAAATGATTGCATCGTCATTTCCGCAAAACAATGGAGAAATTTTCTCCAAAACTCCAACATCCTGATCAGTTTGGCTTCGTACGATGTCAGTACCATCCAAAGCGCAGTACACAATTGTACCTCCGAAGAACTTTCTTGACAATATTCTTCCGCCATCTTCGGATGGAGGGAAAAGCCTCAACGGAATGGACGATTCGTACATCTCAATGATCTTCTGTTGGCAGATGGTCGTCGCTTCCTCAAAATCAGAGATCGCGCCCATGTTTTCTAAGTGGAATAAAACATATTTCATGTCATCGTAAACGAAAACACAGGCGTGTATATCCAACTTGATGTAGACACCTTCGGAAGTCACACCGTTTATTATCTTTGACGTACAACCGCTGGACATAGTCAATAAGTCCGAAATTCTGGAGAAAAAGAACTCATGGGCCTTGGACGGTGGTTCCCCTTTGGACATGAACAGCATTGTGTAATGTTGGCCGATCAACTGTTCAGGTTGGTATGAGAACATTTCCGAAATACAGCGAGAAAAGGCCAAAATAGAGTTGTGGTCGTTGATAATGATGAACGGAGTGTTCGTTGAGTTCAGGATATCAAAGATTGGGGACCCGTTCTCCCATGGAAGGACTCCTGTCTTAGATCCAATTATATATTCGACCAAACATTGGTTTTTGGTTATGAATATGGGGTCAAGATCTAATATCAGACGTCCTAGTTGCATTTTAAGTGAGTCTGTCTTTACATATCTGCTCCAAAAGACAAATGGCAAAATTAAAATTGCAACAACGAAGGAAAATATGGCGAAATTGCAGATGCAATCCATCTGTACGAGTTTCTCATTCATTCTATCATACAAATATGCCCAAATAATCAAGGATTTCGTGTATGTACGTTGGAAATATATATGGACAGCGTTTTTTGCAGGGTCTGACACCAGAGTCGATATATTCATTGATATGTGGTGAGTTATGTAAGCAATAATTCTATGTAGAGCTCCAAGAGAACCTGTATTGTAATAATCATGGAAAGAAATGTTTTCTTTGGGCCCTTTGAAGATGGTATGTGTTGCATTGTATATCTGTGGTGCATTGATGTACGTTCTATTGAATTGTGTACAATAATTCTGGATATCATCGAAATACTGTATTGCTTCTTGAATTGACTGCCTGCAAGTATTGACATCCTTCTTCCATGCAAGTCCCACACTGGATAAAGTGATCGCTGCCTGTAATTGCATCCTTTGGATTCCAATAATCGTATTGTGGATGGCGAAAGCTTCGTAATAGTAGTCGAATATGAGTTCCCAGCAGATAGTCATGCCAACGCAATAGACAATCATTACTCCTACCGACCAAGAAATCTTTCTTATCAAAGATGAGAGGGAAAACTCTTCTACTTCATTGGAAAACTCTTCTATTTCGCATCCTTCTTCGAAGACCTTTGGTCTGAAGTACTTTTCACATGCTTCTGACACTTCTTTCAGTGAAGAATATCTAAACCAATAAACAACGAAGGGATCAAGCATCAAAGTGATGAACAGAATGAAAATACAGTTCCGTGTGTTTGTACTTGATATACTGGAAGGTCCTATTGTGTCAGAACTGTAGCTGTCAAGATAATCCAAACATTTTCTGAAGGCATTCAAAATTTTCAATGTGATCACTGAAAAAGAAATTGCTCTATTTTTGAATTCTTCCACGAGCGTCGAATTACTTGGATCGTCATAGTTCGATAGAGGGATATTCTCTGTAGCCAACAAGGAGTAGTACATCGTCATGGATTTGGCCGAAACGTTGGAAAATTCGGTTTTATTATCTTCTACTGACTGATAATCGATAATGTTGTCATTTATCAGGTCTCTGATGCTTGAAAGTGAAGGATCCGTTGAAAAATAGCTATTCTGGATCAAAAATTTCCTCATATTTATCACAACGCTTTCAATTGTTGTATTTAGGCGTCGTAGTAAGGTTTCTATGGACGTGATGGTTGTTTTATTGTTGGTAACTACTTGAATCATCGATTCCAAACTTAATAAGTCGTATAAAGTTTGATTTGTCGAATAACCCATAGTTATCGAGAAATCCTGCCACGCTTCTGATATATTAGCGATGTTCAGAGCGATATCTATGAAGGAATTCATGTACTTTGTTTTAGTTTTGATCGAAATCGGGTAGTAGATACAAGTTCCGAGGAAAACAAGGTATACAAGTATATCTAGAGAGAATATGAACTTCGATTTCTTCGTCAAAGGCTTCTTTACGTGCATTCTTATATTAGATTTAAAATTTATTTCTCTTACAGCTTGTTTCGCCACGTAATCTTCTATTTCCTCGTCTCCAAAGAACTTCCTAACAATTCTATCCGGTGATTGCTGTATAAATGCGGCATATCTGTAGTGTAAAGTCGTTGCTTTGAATCCGACCGTCTGAAAAGTGTCATTCTTCTGTAAAAGTGTGACATTGTCTATGAAATTTGACTTCAATTGCTTGATCATGTCATTATTTGAGAAAAAGTAATGATATGATTGAAAATTGAGCGTGAAATTGATGAAACATTTATTCAGCTCTATCAATGTGTTCATTCCTTGCTTTAGTTTCCCTCGAATCATATAATCCCAAAATTTTGTTGCAGCTGTTTGATAAATCTGATATTGCGTGATTAGTTCGTTGTTCTGTGGTAAAAAGGAGTCAAGATCTTGCTTGGAAAGTGCATGGATCAGTTCAAAAATAAAATATTTTTGCATTGAATTGATTTGTTTGCACATATTAAGGGAGAGTAATATGTGTTTTGTATTGAATATGTTTTCTGGTGTCTCCCCCGCTAAAATTTTGAGAAACTGGAAACATGATAAAAGATCTAGTCTTGTAGAGGTTTCTATCAATGGTTCAAGTGTTTGTATTAATTCTTTGGATACCATATTTGATAGTACAGCTTCGGTAATGAGATTTAAACAGCCTGTATCGTCAATCGGAATTTGATGAGTATAATTGAAGTTTGCGAGTAAAGTTTTTGATCGTTTCTCTAATAAAGCATATGAAACACCAAACGCGACCACGAAAAGTGCAAGTCCGTAAAAGAAAATTTGATTTTGTTTTCCTTTGTTGGAAAAAGCAATACAAAATGGGAGAACAATCACATGAGTTGCATCTGCACCTATAGCTAATGATGTGTCGCTATGTGAAACGAAAGGATGTCGATACATATTTATTATATCATAAATTGAATAAACAGCGTAAATTCCGGTAAGAAAATACTGTATTAGACTTATTTGAAAAAAGTACATTAATGTTATGTAAACAGCATCAACTAAACCATGAAAAATGAAGTGAAAATCCGGAAACAAACGAGTAGGTAAAAAAGATCGCGATAAAACTGGATTTTTGAATATAATTGGAGAAATTAAGATAGTAAACGAAAGTATTAATGCAAGGATAACAAGTTCAAAAAAGATTGAAAAAACTTGAGAGAAAGGAGAGTTTGTAATATCAATGGACTGTAGCTGTATGCCCACAAAAATCGCTTTTTGATAGAAAAACATGTTTGGAACAAACAAAAATAACAAACCTCTTGTTCTTAGAAAAGGCCTGGATGTATGCCTTGCATTTGTAAATGTTAGGTATAATATGAATGTTGCAAATGCAATGGCAATGAAAAATAATGTTGAAATGTATTCATAAAATTTGGAATATTTCAATGAATTTGCATCATTAACATAAGAAAGAGCGGCATATAAGAGTTTGATGAGCTTTTGGTTGGTGTTAGAATCCGATGGATTAAGAATTATTGGTATATAAGAAGTTAACCAACATTGAACGTAAGAAAATATAACGAGAGCTTTAGATACGAACTCGAAAATGGGCTCTTCGTTAAGGATTGATGTAAAATAATAATATCGCTTTGGGTATGATGACGGATCTATTCGAGAATTCTCTAGATCCATCATTCTCCCAAATTTGAAAAATTACAATTTTTAAGTAAAAAAGCCGATTTTATTATAAATTAAGCGATGAGTAAATTCAAACAAAAACTAATCCAAAAACATGCTTTCAAAAAAGCGGTTATGTAAAACCAAAATTTGTAATCATTTTGTTCAGAATTTATCTACACATATATTTTCAAAAGGGTGGATTTAATGTGCAATTGAATTTTTTTGAATATACCAAAGCAAAAATTGTATCATTGATTAATACAATGATAGAAAATACTTTTTTATTTGAATTTATTTTTTAATTCAATTTAATTCTGAGAGGTTAAAATTTTCTATACAGTAGATTCAGGAAATAAAATCAAATCCTATAGCAATTATTAAATTTTTTTCGAATTTATTATGAACTGTTGTTCCATATTAAGCTCTGTCAAAATGTAAGCTATTCAATTGTATCGTCGGGGAAAGTATCACAAATCTATCAATTTTTTTGTAAAAGTATACAAAAACATATGGTGTTCAATTAGTTTATAATAATATAAATATTAAGATTATCCAAAATAAGAAAAACTAGGTTTTGAGAACACTTTTGAGATGATAATCAAAATATTTTGATTGAAAAATAATATATTATTTATCAGATATAGAATGGATTTTTTCAAATTTAAAAATTCTGAAAAATAAACAGTTTTGTAAAGTAAAAAAAATGAACGAAAACTCGAGACCTCGTATTCCAAATGAATGGGTAAGATATATGTATGAAAAACTTGAAAGTGGTGAGTAAGGATGTCAATTTGGAAGAAAAGTGAGAAAATTCCTAAAATGCGAAAAATGAATTTTCCAAACGTACTTTTTTATCTCATTTTTTTGATTTTGAAAAAAATTTGGAGAGAAGAACTCTTCGTTTTTGAATTTTATCACGATGGTTTTAAAGTATATTAGACACATGTATTGGTATTACTATTTTTGTATATTTTGAGAGAAAATCCCTAAAAAGTGAGAAAATCTAAGACGGTTTGAGAAAATATATAAACTATTGAAAATTTGAATTAAACTTCTAATTTGGAAAAAAGAAATTTGGAAAGAAGAAAATTCAAAAATCGAGATTTAGACTCAGCATCAAATGGAGAACAAAATGTTTCTTCATATGAAGGAAAAAAATTTTTTGTGAAGAAATAGAGTTTTTAAAATTTTATTGTATGTAATGAAATAAACAAATATTAAAATTATTTTTTGATAACAAGAAAATTCCCAATAGAAAATATTTGAGAGAAAGAAAAAAAGAAAATTGAAAAATATTACTCTCCTTTATATTTCATGAGATTTTAAATTTATTCTCATAAAATTAACAATTTTATACGTTTAGATGAAAATAAGTGATTTTGGTTGAAATAGAAATTATTATTTGCTTACAGCTATCAAATAGATTTTTGCTATTTTGATTAAAATTTGTTAATCAAATTAATAAATTTTTTCTAAATATCTTAAATATCTGGATCACTCACTGATACAATGAATTAAACGATAAAAATAATACAAACTCAACTAAGTTTCCTGTTTTTCAACTAAAAAAAATTATGCAAATTAAATTAAATTGTTTATTCAAATATAAAACAAAGATGAAGTAATTACAGTTATCATAAACTTTATGAATAACTCTGTAATTGGTTCAGATTTTCGTAAAAATATTTTTATTAATATCGATAAGAATACGTTTACCTACTATCACAACATATCGATAAACAAGAGTAGAGTGATTTTTATCATCGAAACTTTTTAAAAGCTGTAAGCTGGAAGTAAAAATCTTGTTTTTTCTGAGTTAGTTGTAGAACTATTGATGCACGAGTTATCATTGTGATGTAGAAGGATGTCAATGTACTGACTGAAGGATATGAAGTGAATTGAATTTCATTGCATTTCAATTTGATCAAAATTTGTTGAAATGATATGAATGTGTCAACATCTGTATCACTCTCTTTCACTCCTTCCCTATTCTTTCGAGAACGAAGCTAGCTCAGCTTTCGCTGAGCGAATTGACACTTTTGATGCCCTAAACGTACATGCTCTCAAATTTATCGAAAAAAAATTATACCACCAAAACTAGTATATTCTTATTTTAAATATGATATTATCCTTAGAATCCACACTAGAATATATTTAAATCAACTTTTAAAAAAGTTCGAATCCTGCGCGTCTCACTTTTTAAATTTTCGAAAAGGAAAATTATATTCTCCTAAAATGAAAACAATTTTCCGAATTGACATCCTTATGGTGAGTTAACATACGCAACAGTTTTGAAAAAAGTTCCATATTCTTATCAAAATGTTACAATTTTCAAACAAATTTCAAGAAATACTCTCAAAAAAGCATTCAAAGAAATCGGTGGTACACCAAAAATTAAAAGTGGTCCTCCACAAGAGGAATTAACTCCAGAGTCTCATCACACTTTTCAATGCTCGATTTTTAAAAACTGTTTAAAAATGGAGCTTATATTGAAATAGTGTAGAGACTAAAAATTACCACAGACTATTTCAGAGGATTGAGTTGCCACTCAATCCTCTGAAATAGTCTGTGGTAATTTGCAAAATTAATTTTGAAGGTTCAGAATTCTTATGAAAATTACAAATGTGGGGTTCAAAAATTGTATTGGACTCTCAATATGAATCCAAAACAATTTCAACTCAGTTACAATGCAGTTATTAAGGCAGCAAAATTTCTGGGAATTTACAAAGAAAAAGATAAAAGTAATCCAAAAGCATATTATGTGGATTATGAAGCAATTGTAATAAACAGAAATTCATCAAAAGTGACAGCTCTCAATTTTTTGACATTTGTAAATTCTAAATTGAATGAGAAAAATGAAATAATACTAAGCATAATACAATATTCTAGATTTAATTATAATTAGGAAAAAGTTAGTTTTGAGAGTACTTTTCATAGGCATATAGAATGAAATCTTCTGAAAAATAATATCACATAAACTCATATTATTTTCTAATATATAACTATTTTATATAAAAATCAAATTCAATGATCTTAAAAGCGAAGGATAAACCTCAAAATTTACGAATATAATGAGTGGGAATAGGCGTAAAGCAAAAATTGATATTTCATATGGTTTTATGATAGATAAGCATTATATTCCCACTCATTATATTCGTAAATTTTGAGGTTTATCCTTCGCTTTTAAGATCATTGAATTTGATTTTTATATAAAATAGTTATATATTAGAAAATAAATGAGTTTATGTGATATTATTTTTCAGAAGATTTTGTGTTCTTCTTCAAAATTTTATTTTTTATTAAAAAGAATCTTTACAAAATATACATTTACTTTAATTAATATTTAAAAACGTGCTCTATCAAAAGTTCCAAAAATTCAATATTTTAGCTTTTCTGAGGTGTCACTTTTGATGAATTTCTGTTTACAACACAATTCTTCCAAATACAATCTGGCATGTGGATATTCATTTTTTGAAAGAACCTGAAACTCTACCGGTTTATGGAATAATTGATGACAAAAGTCGTTATTTGTTAGCATTGAAATTGCTTCGTAACAAAAGTTCAACAGAAACTTCAAAAGTGGCAATTGCAACAGTTCAAAAATATGGAGCACCTTTCTGTTTCTGGTCAGATAACGGTAAAGAAAATGAGGGAGAGTTCACAAAATTTTTGAGTACTTATGACATTCAAATCAGAAAATCAGCTCCATACATGCCACGTCAAAATGGCAAAATTGAACGCCTCTGGCCATCACTGGACAAAAATGCTCCAAAGTCTTCAGAATTTGAGAGCATCAATCAGGAATTGGAAGAATTCAGGCAAAAATACAATGACATGCCACATGGCGCTCATCCAAAAATTGGAGTTCGACCATACATTCCAAGAGAGGTTTACAACAAATTTAAGAAATGGACCAAGGATGATAAACCGCTCTGGAAAAAATGTGTTAATAAGCAGTGGGAAGTTGAAGAGATTCCAAACTATTGAAATATTCTATATTTTTTTCAAAAATTCTCATTCAAATTTGAATTTGGTTTTCAAAATTATGAATAAACATTATTTTTATTACACTTGATTTTTAGCTCTGAAGAATCAAAAGAATTTAGCGAGAAAGAATATGCAGCTCACATAGGGGTAGATAAAGATATATCTCGAAAAAAATTGAATTTATTGTAAAGAATGAAGAAGTTCATTTTAAGATTGAGTTGATTTTCAACCAAAACGAGAGAGCATGCAGGCAAATGAAATTCGAAAAGTGAAAGGAATGACATATGCAAAAGAAAAGATTCAAATAACGCAAGCGAAATATAGATCAGTTAAAATCAGAATAAAATTTCGATCTTTTCTACAGGGAACTAAAGGCTATGAGGCACTAATATATAATCAGTGCCTCATAGCCTTTAGTTTGTTATTAAAACGAGAAAACTTGTTCGAAATGATAAACAATTTGCGAACAAGTTTTCTCGTTTTAAGGAGGGAATTGTTCCTTATGATGCATACATTATAAATATATACATCATAAGGAACAATTCCCTCTAGATAGCTGGGAAACTTTCTCTAAATAACTTATCATTTGGAGAAAGTTTCCCAGCTATCTACTGGGAACTAAAGGCTATGAGGCACTAATATATAATCAGTGCCTCATAGCCTTTAGTTTGATATTAAAAACGAGAAAACTTGTTCGAAATGCGAAATGATTGCGAACAAGTTTTCTCACTTCAGCGAGGGAATTGTTCCTTATGATGCATACATTATAAATATATACATCATAAGGAACAATTCCCTCTAGATAGCTGGGAAACTTTCTCTAAATAACTTATCATTTGGAGAAAGTTTCCCAGCTATCTACTGGGAACTAAAGGCTATGAGGCACTGATTATATATTAGTGCCTCATAGCCTTTAGTTTGTTATTAAAAACGAGAAAACTTGTTCGCAATGCGAAATGATTGCGAACAAGTTTTCTCTTCAGGAGGGAATTGTTCCTTATGATGCATACATTATAAATATATACATCATAAGGAACAATTCCCTCTAGATAGCTGGGAAACTTTCTCTAAATAACTTATCATTTGGAGAAAGTTTCCCAGCTATCTACTGGGAACTAAAGGCTATGAGGCACTGATTATATATTAGTGCCTCATAGCCTTTAGTTTGTTATTAAAAACGAGAAAACTTGTTCGCAATGCGAAATGATTGCGAACAAGTTTTCTCACTTCAGCGAGGGAATTGTTCCTTATGATGCATACATTATAAATATATACATCATAAGGAACAATTCCCTCTAGATAGCTGGGAAACTTTCTCTAAATAACTTATCATTTGGAGAAAGTTTCCCAGCTATCTACTGGGAACTAAAGGCTATGAGGCACTGATTATATATTAGTGCCTCATAGCCTTTAGTTTGTTATTAAAAACGAGAAAACTTGTTCGCAATGCGAAATGATTGCGAACAAGTTTTCTCTTAAGGAGGGAATTGTTCCTTATGATGCATACATTATAAATATATACATCATAAGGAACAATTCCCTCTAGATAGCTAGGAAACCCTAAATTAACTATTAATCTTTGAGATATTTTTTATTGAGGTTAATACGTTTTTCTAAATAATTAAAATGTAAAATTTTGATTATGAACTCATCTCTAATATTTTGTCTCTTTAATATATTTGAATCATGATCTTTGAGAAGAGTTCTCAAAAGTATTCACAAAAGCTATTTTTCCTTGAAATTTAAAAATCCTGTTTATCATATATTACCGAATTCAATTCCCTACATATTTCAAAATATTCTATGAACATTTCAATTTTTGAAAAAAAAACATATTTTTTCCAAATATATTTATTATCATATTTCTAATAATATTTCCTAAAGTGTCACTTTTACTTCCTCGACGATTATTTCCCTCTCAAAAAATTCAATAGCTTACATTTTGACAGAACTTAATATGTAACATTACTGTGCATGTGTTGGGTTGTAATTGTTTTTGCCGTTAATAAAAATAGCGACTGTGTAATCGACATCGAATTCTCCTTCTTGGAGACCAATTTCTTTGACTATGAAGCCATTTTCAGAAGCAACACGGAATAAAACTCTTGGATCCATAACGTGAAGGTAAGATCCGGTAGTTTTTTCTGGTTCATTTCCTCCAGCATGGAATTTGAAATCAAAGATCTCTCCTGGCCACTTTTCACCCTTAGCATAGTTTGCATTGTATGTATCAGAGAAATCTCTGTTTGCAAAATGGAATGGAGAGGCAGTAAGAATGAAAAATCTTCCTCCAGGAACAAGCCACTTGGCTGCACGCTTGAATGTCTCTTCTACATCCTTTGGATGGAAGAAATGGAAGACTCTTGACATATGAATCGCACCAATTGAATTTTCTGGGAAATCAAAGTCGTAAGGAATGACGCCAAGACGGAGATATAGCTTTTCTCTGTCTTCTTTAGTTAATTGAGGACTCTTGGCAATGATATCCAGGTGCTTTTGGTCAATTTCATTTGCAATTACTGTGGCTCCAGCTTTTATGGCAGCAATACTTGCAGCACCATAAGCTGCTCCACCATCGAGAACTGGGTACTTGCATGTGGCTGCGTAGTCAACAAATTTCTTTGTGATTCCAAGAATTCCTTGTGTAGCGTAGCCCATTTGGTTCAATGTTGTGATTCTACCATCTGGAGCTGGTGCTGGTATATCGTGGTCAGGGATCTTTTCGAGATCTAAGGTAGATGCCTGAATGCCGAATTTGCTTTGCATAAAAAAAATGAATTGATTTTCAGAGAGTTATCAAATTCATCGTAATAAATGTGACAATTGTAAAATCATAAAAAAATAAATTAATGTAAATGATATACTGAATTGGATTTTCAATAAAATTCGTTCACATTTCAATTTTTTGAATTTTGATTTTGGAAAATTCAATTCATCGTTTTACGGACCAAAATCATTATCAAACGATTTGCTAATAAAACATGTACCAAGATGATCAGCGGGTACAGCTGTGTTTATTGTTTATTATCATGATTTTAGGCAAAATATTTTCTATTGAAGTAAACAGTATTACATTGCTATTCTGCAACTGAATCATCAAGAAAATTCATTAAAATCAAAAACGTTATTGGTTAATTTTGAATGTAAAATTTAAACTTTCAAATTTTGAATTGAAATTCAAAAATATGAAAAGTGACACATAATTGAAAGAATTATTTTTATGGATTGTGAGAGTGATTTTACATTAGTATTTTGATTTTAATAAATTTTATTGTTCATAAGATAATGGTTAATTGCAATAGTAAATTTTATAAGCTCACAAAAAATAATCCAAACCCGCAGTTCTCAATTGAAAATCTTCATAAAAAATCATATTAATGAGAGAAAATACTTTAAACATTCACAATTGATGTTTATTATTTACCAAATATGATGTTACTCATACCATTAAAAAAAAAGTAAGTTTTATCATATCGTTATACTTGTTTATCAAACTATTTTCTTCTGTAGTTAAGATAAAGATGAGTTATAAATTTCAAATTTATAGTTCAAACAATTAAATTTACAAAAATATGAATTTTTTCTGTTTTTACTTAAATAATAGCGTTACAACAAGCTATATAATCTATGGCAAGAAAGTTCTATTTCTGATATTAATTGCAAAAAAAATATTATATGAGATCCTCTTATTTTTAGAAACTCCCGAGTTTATTGAACAGAATTCCATTCAAACAACATCACTCAATAAATTTCACAAAGATATCTATCTACGACTAACTGTATCTCTCTCTCAAATATTGAAATCTAAAATTTTGATGACATCTGTGAACAATTTTTTGGTCGAAGCACATATGTTCAGCTAATAAAGAAATACTTTTATAATTTCAAAATCACGAGTCCAAATCTTCAGAAAAATTGTGAGTTTTGCTTTCAATTTTATGAAAAGTATAATTATTTAACTTTTTATTTGAAAAAATGCCAGCGTCTTTGAAAAAAAAGACTACATTTATGATGTAATTATAATAGCTTGCTAATTCATTTTATAACTGATTCTCAATTCAAAATACTTAAAAATTGAAAAGAAAATCATTTTACCAATAATGTCTGAAAGCATAGTTGGGATAGACCTGTCTACACATAACATTTATGCCACTTATATAGGAAATACTAGAAGTGAACGAAACACCATTTTACCAATTTGGTTTCAGGGTGAAGTATCATTTCCAGCATATCTTTTAGTCGATGAAAATGGAAATAAAATTATTTCAAATAATCTTAAACGGCAAACCCAAATTTTAGCTAAAAGTGACAGGGAAAATTGCTCGGTTCTACATTCAAAATAAATTTCATTAATTTTTACGTACATATTAAGGTACTTATCTTCTACATATATAATCTTCATTAGATATATACATGATAAATAAAAGAGTAGGTGCCAAAAGTGCTTACTCTTAAACAACCGTCGGATTTCCGGGTGAAATCGTGACACACTTTCGTCTTTCGTAGGCAGTGGTGGTTGTTACAAAAGGTAACTTCGAATGTAGCGTGAAATCTGCAAAAAAAATTCTGAAATTTGAATGGAGAACACAAAAATTGAATAGTTTACGTCAATAAAAAAGAGAAAAATGAAGCCAATGTGTCTCGAACCTAGGACTTAGAGCAGCAATCCCACTGTTTATCCCATTACACTACATGCATCTCTCACCTCAGTGAATGAGATCAACTATATGATAACCTTTTCCCCATTATATTCTTGTGGAAAAGTGACAAATAGCAACTTTGACCCTCTCTCATAAATAAAATTCATAAAACATTAAAAATCAAAAAATTAGATGAACCTTGGCAATTAAACTTTATTAAATAATAGTTGTTTATAAATTATATTATCATTTAATATTATTTTGATAATGAAGATTTTATTTTGCAATAATATAAACAAAATTTTTTACCTTATGAACTTTTGATGGAAATATGCAAATTTAAAATAATAAAGAAAGCCGCGAGCGAAGCGATCGGCTTAGTTCGAAGATTTTGATTCAAATCTTTGCTGATCTGTAATTCGCGGAAGCCGCGAGCGAATCGAGCGGCTTAGGTCTAAGATTTTGATTCAAATCTTTGCTTATATTCCTTAAATTCTTTATGAAACTCGCAACAGTTCCATAAAAAATTTTAAATTCTAAACTGTCGAAATTACCGATCGGTAATCACACCCTTCACAGGTGTGTCACTTTTTACAAATGTGTTACTTTTAGCTAAAATTACCCCTACTCGTACAATCATTAATTGGAAAGGTTGATTTCAAAATTACTCATGATGCATCAAATGATCCCATTATCACTATTGATAGCAAAACCTATTCACCTGTTGATTTTTTTACACAAATATTTAAACATGTCATAAAAAATTATCACGATTGTTCATTAAATGAAACAAATAAATGTGTTATTGCAGTTCCTACATTCTTTAACGATAATCAGATAAAAGCCACTGAAGGAGCAGCTCGAAGTTCAGGCTTTAATGAGGTAAAGTTCATTAGTGCCCCAATTGCCGCAGCATATGAGTTTCATCGCAACGATCCAATAGATAAAGTCAATATTTTGGTTTTTGACTTTGGTGAAAGTTCCCTTGATGTTTCCATTGTAAATATTGATGGAAACAAATTCACACTCAAAGGAAATGTTCATTCATCAGAAGTTAGTGGATCAAAAATCGATGATATATTGATGAATTATACATTAAATGAAATCAGGAAAAAGGAAGAAGATTTCGAACCAAAATCTCTCAGCAAAATGAAAATGCTGTATCTTAGGAGAGAATGCGAAAAAGCAAAATGTTATCTTTCTGTGGTGCCTGGTACCTATATTTATTTTCCTAGTATGTGTAAAAATCTAGACAGAGTTATAATCAAGCGCCATAAGTTTGAATACTTAATAGGTGATGAGATCCTTGTAAAAATGGAACATACTATTAGCAGGTTGATGAGGAATGTTGGTTTAACAGAAGAAGACATCTACAAAGTACAACTTGTTGGTGGATGTAGTAAAATTCCTATAGTTTTTGAAATTCTTGAGTAAAACTTCCCAAAAAAGGTAACCAATCCAGGAAAGTCACTAAATATTGTTGCCATGGGTGCAGCAGCATATGCCAAAAGCGTATATTTATAAGTATTATTTTACTTTGATTGATTAAATGAACACTTTCATCAAATTATATAGATATCAATTAAAATATCCTGAAATTAAATCATTATATAATATTGTTCTAACTTCATATTGGTTAAGACAGCATTAAAAATATGCTTTAGTCTAAATATTGGAAAAATGTTTTAGTATATATTTTAAACAATTGATATCGATAATGATCTAATTTTTAAAGTTTGTGATCATAATACTTGAAGGAAATATGTTATTACTTGTCCCAAAAACATTTTCATGTTTACCTCAAAAAAATCAAAAGAATGAACTTCCCTTTTTTCACTTTTGGCGGGCTTTTTTTTACAAAATTTTAGATGGGAAAGAAGAAAGGGTCCGATTCAGAAGAAGATTTTGATATGCTTGGTGATCTAGATGACGATGATGATTTTGAACTTAGCGATGATGAGCCAGCAGTTAAAAAACCAAAAGTAAAAGGAGCTCCATCTCCAAAAAAGGCTGCACCAAAAGCTGCAAAGCCAGCAAAACCGAAAAAAGAAAAGGCTGCACCAAAGATGCCATCAGATGAAGCTTTAGAGGACTCAGCAGATGAAAAATCATTCGTTGTAGATGATGACGATGACTTAGATGCCCCACCAAAGCCAAAACCAAAGAAAGAATCAAAGCCAAAAGCAAGCTCCACTAAAACAACTACAGCAGCTCCTGCTCCAAGAGTTCCAAAACCATTTACTGGAGGAGCGAGCCTAAACTTTGGTTCGAATACACATTTACAGGCTCCACGTAGAGTTGGACTTAGTAAAAACGTCCAGCCTCCGCCTCTTCATTAATATTTCAAAAAATTACTTATGTTTATTGCGAAATACTTCATGAAATCGCAAGGGATAGTCTTGACCTACGATTTTATCATTTCAATGTTTATAAAAATATACTATTTAAAGTTACATTTTCATTCAATTTTATCGGCGCGAAGCTTCTTCAATCATCGCACAGCAGGCAGGCTTAGTATTATACTGTCAAGTCAAAGTTACCGACTAATCCATACTTAAATTCAAAGAATTTACAAAATCACAGATTTTCTTGGCTCCTGTTACTCACCAAGTATCAAGAAGTCATTGCTATCAGAATCAACCTGTTATGGCATTAGGCGATAACTATTCTATGGTCACATTGTACCTTTTGGAAAATAAATAATATTTCTATTAATCAAATATGACGTCTTATCTCAGATCAATTGATTTAAAGTGATTGATATAATAAGAATTGTCAAAAATTGCTATAATATAATAACTCAAAATTTCTTTGACAACACTCTCCATAATTTTTGATCATTCTATATTTTAAATAATAGATTTTGATAAATCAAAGCTAATTTCTGACATAAATAATAAAATTCATTATATTACTAAGAGTTATATTTTAGTGTTTAGTCAAAATTTAGACTCTTTCTCCTGATCCTGATTCATTGTTTTTAGACTTGTTCCTAAAAACAAAGAACCCCACGAGAATACAGATGAGTGCAATAAAATCAATAACACCAATTACAATTCCTACAATTGCTAGAGTATAGAGACCACCATTATTGGAAATATTCTTTAAACTGCAGTTTATAGTGTTCTTTTTCAGTTCTTCCTCTGTTTTAACTCCAATTGGAATATCGAAGAGAATATCATCTGGGAAGAGAGATTCTTCTGGCTCTTTTGTTGATTCCTCTACTTCTTTAATATTGATTTCAACATTGACATCACCTGGTTCTCCTTCCATATCTGGATTTAATGTTGCCCAGATCGTTTTTCCTTTGAGCTTTTTCTCTCTAGCTTCGCCTGCACTGTTACGAAGAACACCGATAACTTTTTTATGATCTGTGGTGACTTCTATTTCTTTATTTTGTGCACTATGCGATTGAAGTATTAATGATTTCGATGATTGATTCGTAAACTGAAGTTTTTCTTTCATGTTGAGAGAATTCTTTGTTGTGAAAATAGAACTCAATGTTCCCTCATTTGTAGATTGAGGTTGATTAATTGAAACAATATGGACTTTGCACTCCCTTGTTGAATCAGAACAGTTTATAATGCTTAAATAATTTCCTGCAACACTGAATGGATTTTCTACTTCTATTGGTTTCTTTTGTGAATTTAATAAATTGTAAAATGTAGCTTTGAATTTGTCTTTTGATGCATACACAAAACTTCCGTTTGTACATACAGACTTTCCAACACCAATTGTAACAATCTTACTAATAATATTATTATCCATTTTTATTATTTCTTCACATGGTAAATTATCTGGTAAAAATGTTTCACCTGGCCAGTTTGTGAATATATTTCGATGATCTCTTGTATATGCTTTAATTTGATCAAGTGTGTAAGCTCCTTCTTCTGGAAGAATATAGAAAATATCATCTCCAAAAGGATATGAACATCCATCCAAGACCGGAGCAGATGAATTTGTTTCACAAATAATCTCTACAGTTTCTGATGTATATCCTTCAGTTGTAATATTTGGGGAAATTTTTAGGTAAAACATATTTCCGCTGGAGATATCATTTGCTTTGGAATAAATTCCAGATTTGTCATATACTTCGCCATTAATTTGGGATTTTTCTGCTTTAATGGTAAATTTTAGTGGGATATTATTTTGAGCATAAATATTAAGGAATTGATTTTGTGAAATCGTAATACTTGTTTTGAAATTTTTTAATGTGGAAAAAATTCCATAATATTTACATTCTGAAATAGAATATGACATTTTAATTTGAAAGAATGAAATAGTAATTTGCTGATTGGGGTCTTTTGGAGTGATTTTAATTAGTGTAGAATTCATATATGAACCAATTACTGATGGATTTAGAATATTTTCGTGTAATTATCCAACACTGTTTTGGTTGAAATTATAGAATTGATAAGAAGCTGTAAAATCTTTATCAGCCTTTATAAAAACAGGTCTATCAATGCAGATATCAGAATTTCCATTGAAAGTTCGGGTTAATACTTCTCCACGATATGGTATTACCATATCGTATAAGCCACACTCATCAAGACCTGGTAATAGCCTAAATGGGAGAATGAAAAATATTGCAAACATCAAAATGATATCAATGAAATTTTCATAAATTGAGAATATTCAATTTTGAGTCTGTTTTGAATTAACATATCTGAAATATCTATATCTATATAATATTAATATTAAAATGAATAAAAAAGAAAATATTCAGAGTGAAACTTTATCTTTATTAAATGAATCAAAAATTTTGAAGCCGATATATATAGAAATTAATATATCATATGTAGATACAGATTATCTAATTTGTTTTTTAAGAGTTTTTTCATGTCTCTCTCAAAATTGAAGGAAGACTAATAATAAAATTAAAACCTCGTTATTTCTGCTTATTGAATTATATACTTTAATAAAATCCAATTTACAGATTGAGGAGCGACGTTGGGTATTCAAGACAGAATTTAGATCTTTTCGGTTTTGCCCTCAAAAATTGAAAGAAGGTATTTCAAGTTTAGTTATTCTAAATCAATATATAATAACAAAGCTAAATTTAAAATTAAACACTTTTGAAAGAATTGAGAATCGAATATAATTTTTTTACTTGACATTTCAAATTTAGAATGCAAACATATAACATTATATTTGCACTTTTTTCTGATGAAATCAGAAAAAAGTGCAAATATAATGATAATTTTTTAAGAAAAGCCATTTTTAGTATGATTTTAAGGATCTCGTTTGGAGAAATAACGGCTGGGATCTCCAAATTCCAAAAAATAAGCTTCTCCAATTTGGTAAATTTTAATGTAAATTATACCCTATTTTTTACAAATATTACCCCCTAGTTTCTTATCAAAATGTCAAATTTTAACTTTACAAACCATTAGATTTGTAAAGTTTGAATTGTCAAAACTCCCAATGAGTTCACCTCACATTTTCTCCATGGAGACGTGGAGAAAGTATTCAATTTTGAATTGGTGAAGAAGACAGACTAGTTCAATTTCTCCATGGAGATGGAGAAATGGAGAAGCTTTGGAGACGGGCATTGCCTTCGTTTTCATGGAGACTTCCTATGGGCAATATTTTTGGGATTTCAATGATCTACTGATCCCAGTATATAGTTCCAATATTTATTTAGATTTTTTATTTGGATTTTTATTTCTTCGATACTTACTCAACATTTATGGCGAATTTATATTATATTTCACCTATAGATATTATTCAACACCATATTACAGAATTTATATGCATTTTCAATTTAAAGCAATCTTTATTTGATAATACGAATGAAACTACAATACCTTTCATCGAAGCTATTAATGATCTCTCTTAGATCATCAATAAAATAAAATCTCAAATATTTTTCTTTGATTCCCAATAAAATCGGTTTAGCCTAAGGGAGTTTGCTTTCGCATTTCTATGTTGATTACTTTCATTTATATTATTCATGAATTTACAAAAATATTCCTTGATATAATTTGCCAATTCTTAATTAAATGTTAAGTACTTTCTCTATATCAAGTTTGAGCATAAACCGAGTTAAATTTAGGAATATAACTGATGTTTAGATATATATTTTGCCAATTTGAAGTTTACAATTTGTAAAGTGTCTCCAAACTGAATTTTAGAGTTGGAGAAGATTTTTCTCCATACGGGATCCTTAATGATTTCCTTAATTTTATTATAAAGGTTATAAATCAAATGTAGTTCTTGAATTTGGAAAGAATACATTTTTTTTTTTACTAAGTTCGCAGATACAGATGTAAGTAGTCTAAATAATACTTGTAGGCTATAGATTATCAAATTCAATAGTATTTGTTAAATTTGTACATTAATACAAGCATGTGATTTTAAGTCAGATTGAGATGAATAAAGTTTGGTGATCTACAGTGTGAAGGCATAAACTTACAACATCCCTTTATGCCAAAAAATCAAATTTCATATAATATTATTTTGTGCCTCAGGTAGCTACGCTTGCCATTCGGACAAGCAGCTACCAACGGCAAAATATAAATATTGAATATATGAGTTCACCCAAACTCTCTGAAGTTTTTGGAGAATTTTATCGTCATTTGTTCGAAAAGCATTTATAATGAATTCCGATTCTTAATGTATTGTAATAACCAAACAATAGGCTTTTTGTGAGTTTGAATGATAATTAAATAATATATCTTATGAAAAATTGAATTCTTCGCTATTTGGTTGGCGCAATGCGCCAACCAAATAGCGAAGAATAATAATATATATTTACTTAAAATATGATTAAAATTTCTGAACGAAAACTAACCGGATAATCATATTGCACTAGACATTTCTATTGCTATCATGTCATTTCTCATCAATAGACTTAATCAAAATTCATAAATTATACCCTCAATTTTTAACGTTTGCAACTCCAAAAACCAGGTGTTTTTCCAGAACTACCATCTAGGATGAGTCCTAGGAGCTATAATTCTAGGGTTAGATGATACCCACTTAGTACTTTTATTTGTATATGTTTTAATGGAATTTGGTGAGGGGTCATGAAATTCGTATCTAATTTGCTATCATCTAAGCTGGTAAAAGTTAGAGAAAGCTATTTACTGGTTGTATATTACAAATATACCTTGTAATAGAAAATATAAGTGTTTGTGATTTAAATTCGCTCAATTAGCTCGAAAATTTGTTTTATATCCATGACAAACTAACACAATCCTATTTATGTGATTTCCAATCTGTTCCCAAAATATATCAGCATGAATATATATATATTGATATTATTTGCAATTTCATCATTAAATAGTACTTTTTTCCCTATTTTTAATTTAGAAATAGTATATTTATATGATAGCGACACAATATTTTAATTAAAAAATATATGTTATCGATCATCACACTCAAATTGAATTTCAAAAATTTTAGAATTTTTCAATTTCAATATTGAAAATATATTTCTTATATCATAGCGATTCATGTTATAATAATATGGAGAAAAATATTGTTTTAAATCTAAAATTTAAAATGAATGATTGGGCATTACATTAATCCAATTTATTGTTTATTTGTTAATCTAGTGGAAACAATTAATATTTTGGAGAAACAAAAATTTGAAATTTGAAATTTGATGTTGGTCTTATTCATAAGCATTAATTTTTCCAAATCGTGTTTGCTGATGAAACCCCACTTCATTATGCAGCACGCTATAATAGTAAAGAAACGGTCGAAGTTCTCATTTCACATGGTGCAAATATCCATGAAAATGGTAAATATGGAGAAACCCCACTTTTTACAGCAGCAGGTAATAATAATAATATAGAAATTGCCGAAATTCTCATTTCACACGGTGCAAATGTCAATGAAAAGATTAATTCTGATGAAACTCCACTCATACGTGCAGCAAATTATAATAATACAGAAATTGCCGAACTTCTTATTTCACATGGTGCAGATGTCAATGAAAAAAATTATGATGGATATACCGCAATTCATATTACAGCAATGTCAAAAGGACGAACCGAAATTGCCGAAGTTCTCATTTCACATGGTGCAAATATTCATGCAAAAAATTATGAAGGAAATACTCCACTTAGTGTTGCAGCAACTTATGATACGCCAGAAATTGCTGAACTTCTTATTTCACATGGTGCAAATATCAATGAAAAAAATAAATATGAATTTACCCCTCTTGATTTAGCAACATCACGTTTTAGTAAAGAAACTACCAAAGTTCTCAAATCACATGGCGCGCGTAATTAGAAACGGATATATATCCTGAATCATCAAAACAAATTCTAATAAGTGGAATAAAAATTCTCAGATATGACAAAAACTTTTTTTTTCATTTTCCTGTTGATATCATACAAAGAAATAAAGGAATCTGTTATTGTTAAACTAAAATACAGAAAATTTATAATAATATCTATATAAAAAAACAAATAAAATAAAAATAATATTATTTGAGAATTATTGAAGAGTTATTGCTTTGGCTGTTCTCCATCTTTCTCAATATTTCTAAAATGGTCCTGAACTTCAGTCATTGCCGCTTGAATTTCAGGTTCCTCTTTGACATAATAGAAAAGAGCGCTTTCCAGGGCATACCATCCATGTTCTTCAGCTTCAGAGCAAAGATCCCTGAAGCACGCGCTGTCGAAAGCTATACTTCCCAAAATAATATACACGGACATCAAACCTTTCGCTTTTCCTAGGATTGCGACCTTCCTGAAGAGTTCTCCTATGATTCGGATATCGTAGCTCCCGGTTATCTTGGAGAGCATCGATAGTCTTTGGCAGATTTCCAAAATTATCCGAAAAGAAACCAATAAATTCTGTGGTCGGACTAAAGAAACCCTCATTACGCAATCCCAGAGCACGTTGTTCGCTGCCTGACCGCGGAAATGAGATTCTAGTTCATCGATCTGCTGGTTGAGCTGGTCTATTTTGGAGCTCCACCATGAATCTAAAATATCTAATTTCTTTTCAACGCCAACAATGAAAGTCGGTAGGTACATCTGCAAAAGCCTAATATACTGATTCTGTTTTATGTAATTACTATCGAAAAGATTCGATGCTTTCTGAAATGCGTAATTTATCATTTGATAGCCTCTTTTAAAGGAAAGCGTCGCTGCAGTTGTTGCTACTTGGTCTGTAACCATGTCAAGGCAGTGCTGGGAAACCTCAAACCATTTCTTCATCTCGGATATCGAAACCATAAATCTCATTAACTGTTCGAAAAGAGTTGCGTCATGTTCCAATGCTTCTATTGATTTTTTCAGAGTATACTCCAAGAGATCGTGTGGAAAATTATAAATATCTCGCTTCGACATCAAAAATTCAAAAGGTTCGATGTTTGCTTGGTCCGCGTGGGTCTGTATTTCACGCCAGAGCGTATCGAACTTCGGATTTACGAGCGGCTCCTTTTCTGGGATGGAAAAAACTAAAGGACGAATAATTTGGTGATTTGGGAGTTTTCTCTTTGGAAAAATCTTGAACCAGAAGACGGCGTTCTTCGGATTTGTTTCTGTATTGTTTGTTGTGACTGATTGAGGAATTTGAATGACTTTTTGCATTAATTTGGCTAATGCAAGGAAATCATGAGAAGTAGTTAAGAATAATACGTACTGGTGCTTGAATGTGTGATACATGTCTGGTATTTCGATTCCTGAGTCTGTTTCGATCATTTTATTTACTATTCCTTCTAATGAGTGCTGATCTGATATGAAATTATCGATAACTTGGTTTAATATCGGTAGTTTTTCGGAAAATCCACTGGCAGAAAACCAAATGGATGCTGTATATCGTATGATTGTGTTGATTAAAAATTCTCCTGTGGCAGTAACGCCCCAATTGTCTTTCATTAGCTTTATAATGACTGAGTGATAGTGCATGATGCAAGTACTAGCGCCAAATAATAATGTCTTTAAATAATTTTTGTAAAATTCGAGAAAACTTTGGTTTAATTCGGATCCTGAGATACGAGAATCGGACATCAAGCTTATCGCAAATGGATTTATTGTATTTTCAATATACTTTTGTATACATGTTGTTCTGAAAAATGGAATTAAAATTTCAGAACCAACAGTAATATCGCATTTCATGATAACCTGTGCGTAAAATGTAAATGCAAAATTGATATGTTCCTGAGAGGAGTAATATCCAAATAAAGAAGGAAGAGATGAGTGGATTATATAATTAAATAAAGGAGTATCTTTCTCATTTAGCAGGGCATCGAGTAATGCGATAGGATTGGAGTGAATGAATTGAAATAAATGTGATGCTTGCTGTAGTAATTGTGGAGATACACGAGGTGGAACAACTAATGTGGGTTTAAATACGAATGTTGGGCGCTCAGTTTTGTCTGGAAGGTAGTTACTATATTGTGTTTTGTTAAGTAATGTCGGTATAAGTGAAATGGCTCTATGAGTTAAAATTATTTGTTCTCTGATGTGTTCTACGTCCTTTGCGTTCTGACTTAACAAAAGTTCGGCAGACCGCGGAACATATTTGAGTAAATACTCATAGTATTGATATAATTCTTCATCCATTTTTAAAAAACAAAAATTGAAAAAAAAAATAAAAATAAAATTTATAAGGATACTTTCAGACCAAACTGCTTGTATCGTTTTTAAATATGAGATTAATCTATCTAGCTAAGAGTTTAATACGGCATCTATGATGTTATTAAACTTTCACAAGATATCTCTGTTTACTTATACATACTAAATTTTTTGGGAGAACTCAAATTACTTGAAGTTTAAAGTGCTTTTATCTCACCATCTAAAAAGATTTATAGAAAATTTCCTATACCAATATGTATTCTTATAGACTTATGTATATAATTAGTGTATTTACGCTTGATAAAGACCATGGTGAAATGGAAATAAGGGTGCAGAAAATTCATATTAATGAAGTTTTTATCTTATAAAAATATGAAATTGTACATATTAATAAAAGCATAACAGTTAAATATTACCAACATAATTAACATCTTTGTCTGATTTTTGTTCCTTAGATTTCTTTTTCATAATAATTTCGATTAAACGATAATTACAATTAAAGCTTTGACATTTGGTACAATAATGGCAGTAATATTCTTTTTGGGATCCCAATATTCTATGATTGCAGCTCTAAGATCTTGTGTTGAAGACATTGTCAGAGTATTTCCTTTGATGGAACTTTTCACATCATTTTTGGTGAAATAAACTCTTGTTTTTCCTGTCATATTAGCTTTATATTCCTTTTTAGCTTTTGATATCAAAAATACAGCATTACACTTTCTTGAGTCTATGCATCATGATGGCAATCTATTGGGATTGGATAACGTAGAGAGTCTAGATAAAAAAGAAATTAATTAATCAATAAAATTGATTGTAAAATGTTTACTTAGCTGTGGGGATGCAAGCCATTGTGGCAATGCCGCACTGATTGTTCTTGTCCTTGATCATGCGGATATATCCCTGATCACCCCATCCAAGACCCCATGAGTTACGGACAATCCAGTAATTCTTTGTGCCTTCTGTGCCATAGCCAACACAGCCAACACCGTGATCGAGAGAGTAGGATGAGCAGTATGGTTCGTCGTAAATACCCTGTGAGTAGAATTGGAATGAAATTTGCGATGCATCAATTGCAACAGAAGATGGACCGTAAGCAGAAACCTTGGCAGCAAGATCCTTTTCATCACCTTCAACAACATTAATGTAAGAAACAATCTTCGAAGTAGCCTTGGCTTTGTTGAATTTGCATGTTCCATCAAGTGCTGTGTATGGATAATCCTTCTCCAACATGAACTTTCCACCTTGGTATTGGATAGCGTAATCGTAAGCGGCTGACATCAAACCACCGCCACATCCATCGCATGATGTAACGCAATCAACAAGGTTCTGCTCTGAAAGCTTTTGGAGTTGGCCATATGTGATTGCATATTGGGATTCTTGAACTTGGATTGCAGAAAATGCCCAGCATGATCCGCATTGAGCTTGGTCCTGGATTGGATTGACGACTCCTTTTGTACGCCAGTCGATGCCATCATTTGCAATTGTGTTGGATTTGGTGGCGATGTTATGAGTTCCATTATTACGGAAGCCGAGCATGGCTTTGTATTCAGCTGGTGATAAATGAGCAAGCTTGTTAAGTGCAAGTGTGAATCCGAGATTTGCACGATTGTGATTTTGAACGAAACGCTTATTTGAAAGCCATATTCCAAAACGTGAATGATATTCATCGCCTGTAAACATGTTTCCTGTTTCTCTCATCCATCCAAGGAATGCTTTATGTTCGTGTTGTTGAGCAAGCATTAGAAGAAATGAAGTATTTTTGTAATTCCTGTCAAAATGTCAATTTTTTGAATTGCAGTTAAAATTTGAAATAACCAGTTGAAGATTTCTAAAGGAATTAAAAATCCTTCAATATTTGAAAGGGCAGTTGATGTTTAAATGCATCACTTAATGTTGCAATAAAAGAATGACTTGGCTTCATATAGGGTGTCCAAAGGTGCGTTTAGCACAGCGCTCTATATGAGACTATTAAAGGAGATATATGCTGATTATAAATATATAATAAAAAATATGAATATATGTATATGATGAGTATGTTGTATTTTGGCGCCATGCCGGGATATAAAATGAATTTTGAGACAAGAGGCAGTTTCGCGGGAAATTTTGGCGGGATTTTTTTCATTTTTTTAATGAATCATAAAGAAAACATCCTCGCTCTTGCAAAAAAATGCAAAGACTGTAAAAAAATCTACGAGACATTGGTAAAATGCTTCGGTATGGATGCTCCTAGCTATTCCACTGTAACGTATCATGTTAGGATGTATCACTTCATGAACAAAAAGGCGCCCATCATAAAAATTGACAAAAAATCGCCGGATCAAAGAAAAATCAAAGCAATTCTTCAAGCGCTAGATGAAGACCCAAGAGCATCACTCAGAAGGATAGAGGAGATGACAAAGATACCACGTACAACAGTCCGTTATTATCTGCACAATTATTTGAACTACAAACTAGCGTATACACGTTGGGTTCCGCACAACCTTAATTCAGTTCAAAAAAAATCTAGAGTCCAATCTTCGAAAGAGCTCCTCTCTATATTGGGTGCGTATCAATCCAAGAAGTTTCGCTTTTTAGTAACAGGGGACGAGTCTTGGTTTCAATATGCAACAGAAGCCAAAATCATGTGGATCCCGAAGGATGAAAATCCGCAAACATTCCCGAAGAAAAAAATTGACACACCAATGATGATGTTGTCGGTTTTTTGGGGCGTGAATGGCATCATCGCAATTGATATTCTTCAAAAACCTAATACGATGAATGCTCAGTATCTAATTGACAATGTTCTTACTCAAATTATCAATTCTGATGAGTTTGAGAAATCCAAACAACAAAAACAAAAGTTTGCAATTCATTTTGATAATTCAAGAGTTCACAAAAGTCATAAGGTAATGAATTACTTGTTGGAAAACAATGTCAAAGTTGTTCCAAACACAATTTATTCACCTGATATTGCACCCTCTGACTTTTATTTATTCGGCACGCTAAAAAAGAGAGCTGAAGGACGCGAATTCGCGAGTCCAGATGATCTTGAAAATTTTGTAAGAGAGCAATTTGAGCAATTTTCTCATGATGATTTAAAGCGTGTCTTTCAAGCCTGGATCGATCGCTGCGAACGCGTGATTGAATCCAAGGGTGATTATATTTAAATAAACTTTATATATATGTAACTTGTTTATTTCTATTCGCAGTATTCAGGTTTGTGCTAAACACACCTTTGGACACCCTATATTAATATAAAAGAGGCAAATTTGACAAAAGGCAAAAATTCAGATTTTAGTCTGAATTTTGATTTGAGAGAGCAGTTACGGTTTGAATACATCACTTAAGTTCTTTATATATTGCAATAAAATGCATCATATTAATTATTTATCATATCTGCAACAAAAAAATGATACCAAATTACAATAATCATGAAATAAATATTATAGCAACATTCTGTAATTCTGGAATATTGAAAATGAAAAATCAACAAAACTCTGATATTCAATGAGTGTGGACAGTAAAAGAATTATGTTTTGATCAAAAGCAATACATTAATTTAATATAAGGCTAAAAAATAGTTATATTCTGGTTACTACCATCTTATACTCACATTCTGGTATTTAGAATCATCATGCCAAGCTCTTAACTTGATCTTCAATTGATATTATTACTTTCGTCTATAAAAATGGCTTATTTATCATTTTTGTCAAGCATGTTAGATTTTATTGTTTGATCCTCTCATACGGGAGTTTATTTAATGCTTCCTTATATATGATACTTGAAAAATGATTTTGTCATTTTTCCAGTATTTGATGTGAAGTTTACAATAATCGTCTTTTCCATTAAATACAACTACTTTATGTCCAATTCAGTCGACAAGCTTTGGCCTCATTGAATATAGAATATTATTATGAAATAACTTACTGTAATTCATCAGCATTAATCTTTCCATTTCCATTAGCATAAAAAGTTGTATTTGACAAAAACTCATTGAAAACTCGAGTCCATCTTTTATAAACAGATTTCATTTGTTTCACTTCGGTTTCATTTATTCAAAATCTGCGAATTTTACCAACATTTCTTTAAAAGTAAGATGATGTGGCACCGAAAGATGCACAGTGTAATTCAAGCGGAAATTCAAATGTGACATTGATCTCGAGATCCTAAAAGAAAAACTATGAAATTAATTATATCTTACTCGTGTATCATCAGCAAAATTATTTTTTGTCATGGAAAGTTCATATTCAGTTGATGAAATGAATTGTGTGTATTGAGGATCAGTGAAAGTTGCATTAGAAAGTTTTTTATATCGCTTAACTATTGGAACTTCGGTGAGCCATTTTCTGTAAATGATTACCCTATGGAATCTTGAAGGTTGTTTATATTAATTTGACTTGGAATGAAAATATATTGTTCAATTATAATTTAGATTATATTGAAGCTAATAAGATCAAATACTTCTATAACAATGCAATATATTACTGTTGCAGCACATTTTTGAACTTATTTATCTAATAATATTTGGAATGAATCTAAATGTTCTATTTTTATAGTTTGTTATTTTATAATAAAAGTTGTTACAATGTTATGTTATTGTACCAATTCATTTCAGCTGTTTTGCTTATCTAAAATGCGAATTGATGAGAAAATATTTAAAAAAAAATGAAGAGTAATCTTTTAGTATAAAGAAATAAGCTTCCAAACTGATATATTTGTGATGTTGCCAAGACTTATTTATCATTTTTCCAAAATGTTTGATATTGATGGTAAAGTTTCTGTTTTATTTGTATGTCAAGGAAATATCATTAGATCACCTTTATGTGAAGGACGATTTAGGCACGAATTTGGTGACCGTGTTCGGGTTGACAGTGCTGCAGTTTCATCTGGAGATTTAAACAAGCATCCTAAAGAAAATGCTCAAAAAGTAGCTCAGGCTCATGGTTTTGATATATCCGGACATATATCCCGGCTTATTAAGAAAGAAGATTTCTCCAATTTTAGTGTGATTGTTTCTTTAGATGATTTCGTTCACACTAAAATATTAAAGGTAAAACCAAAAGAATGTCGTGCTAAAGTTGTCAAATTCTCTAAAATTGGTATCTCCAATCCATGGAGACAGCCATTACATGCTTTTAATTCTATGTACGGTGAAATAGATTGTGCATGGTTGCCGTTCATTCAAAAGAATTTTCCAAAACTTTTAGGAAATTGATTCAAAAATTATTTTCTTAGCACGAGCCAGCATTCTGAGCACGAAATTAGCTCCTTCAAACATTACAATTTCGAGATATAAAATGTTATTTGATCTTAATACAAGTATATCATATTTTTTTGTTCCAAATGAGTTGAATAAAGTTTTGCGATCTATGGTGCGAAGTTGTGAACTTACTTTGATTCATCAGCTCAATAAATCAAATTTGAAATAATATAATTTCGGGATTCTGATGGCTACGCTTTTCCGAAGGGCAAGCATACCACCTTCGACTAAATAAACAGATATTGATTATATGATATGAATTCATTCAAAAATATTTGTGCGAGTGATTTGTTATTGAATTTCATTGATTATTACATAAAAAAATAAAACGACTGTTTAGTATAAGCGAATTTATTTCAAGGATACTTTTAGAAATTAGAGAATTTTCTAGAAAGAAACTTGATATGGAGAGAAAATGTATAATTAACATTAAATTGAGAGCTCATGTTCTCAAATAAATACATTAAATTGAGATAACATAATGAATATATAGCTCCAGTATTCAAAAAAAAATTATTGAAATAATAAAACAGCATTTATTAAGAAAATCAAAGAATATATTTATATTCTTACACTTCGTCACCTTTGGTTTCTTCTGGTGGTTGTTGAGGAGTTGGTGGATTAGGAACTCCATAAAATTGCTGTTGATTTTGGTATTCTTGTTGTGGATAATCTGGCTGTGGATATCCTTGTTGTGGTGGATAGACTCCTTGTTGTGGTGGATATGCGTAGCCTGGCTGTTGAGGTGGAATTCCTTCTTGAGGAGGGTATCCGTATCCTGGTTGACCGCCTGGATAAACAACTGGCTGTGCAAATGAGTATTGATTGTTGTACTGGCATTTTTGTAATTCCGCATTGAGGCACTGATAGTAGGCGGGACTTGTTTCATAAATCTGAAGGTAGTTGAATGATTGTGAATTGTATTCTTCTTGTGAAAATTGTGGATCTGCTTTGAATGCTGGGCATTTCAAGGAGCCATCATGTGATATTTTCCTTTTGACTCTGACCTTCTCGTATTTGGCCAACAATATGAAAATATCATCAAGAATAATTGAATATCCGAAGATCATTAAAAATGTGTAAATGAATTTGCCAAAACAAGTGTTGAAAAACCTAACGTACAAACTTCTATGGCTTATTGAGAAGATTTTTGTAGCGTTGTAGATCTCTACATGGAGTTCAATTTCAGGATCTGTTAACCACTGAAATGTAATAGGAGTTGCACTCCTTTTCATCATATACTTTGCAAAATTCAACGCACGTAGTTTTTTGTAGTATTCTTGCTTAGCCATGTTGAAATAGCTAAAGCATTCTTCTGAAATCTCTAATTCTGGTTTGATTTTGATGATTTTGAGTGAACTATCTGTATCTATATTGACTTCGCTGCCTCCCCATGATCCGTATCGCAGGGGTTCGACAAGTCGAATTGGGATGTAAAACGGTGTGTTATCCTTCAAACGGACTAGTAAGATGGGTGGGTTTCCTGCAATTCTGTCACGAATTTTTTCTACTTTTTCTTTTTTCAATATGCAAGCTTTGGGAAATCTGTTTAAATTATATGCACAGCAGCATTTGCAGAAGGCTTTAAAGAAAAGTTTTCTAATCAAATAGAGGCCAGATGGCTTATCAATTCTTGTTGAAAATGAGCCTATAAAGGAAAACAAGTTGATCAACACAAACAAAAAACTTCACACTGCTACTGCGGCTATAGAAAAATCTACTCCCAATATTGCAACACGCATTATTCCGAAAATAATAAGTGCAATTAGAAAATTTTGGCCCAAACTAAAGAGTAAATACCCGAATGGAGGATGAATTTTGCGATTTTTACACCTTGCAATAAGCCAAAATGTTATGTTAACGATCCATGGAACAATGAAAAGAAGAATGAAACCATACGGAATTGGTCCAATGAATGCATAGATACCATCTGAGACACATGCATCTCTCCCAAACCTTTGTTCAATCACATGGCAAGCTGGAGTAGGTGATGGTGTCTCAGGTTCATAATAATAGTATGGATAGGACATTTGTTTTTTTAACTTTGATATCGTTTAAATTCAATGCAACGGTTTTTTATATATTATTATTTAAACTGATTATGGTATGAAATACACAAAATTAGTAAATTCAATACAATCTCAAATGTGAATTAAAATTGAAAGGTTCAACGTGTTTCATTCATATTCAAAAAACAAAATTGAATCGCCAATAATGTATACCTTGATATTTGGACCTTTGTAAATAACAGGCATGTGATTGTATATTTTCCGTTTCTGGTCTCATTTTTTATTAAAAACAGTCAATTTTTCGTCAATCTTTTCTCTGCAACCTTTTTCTATCGAGTAATTTAACGAAATAACGTCAGATATCTGTTAGTACTAAGTAGGTTGCCAATTTTAATGCTGGGTCTACGAATCAACTCCGAAACTTTGTAAAACTTAGTAAAACATCAAAGCATTAGTTAGTTATCAATGTGTGGTGCATGTTCCTAAACAAAAATGTGGTAGTTGTAAAATTAATTGTTTTTTTCGGGGAAAAAATGAGGTAAAACGTTTGTAAAAAAATTAAAAAGTGTCAAAATAAAATTTAATAAAAAGTGACAATTACGTGAAAATGGGTATTTGGGGCAAAAATCTGACTGCCGTCTTCATGCAAACCAGAAGAGCAGTTCCTCGTTTTCTAGAATCATGTATGTCTTATGTTCTCGAAAAATATGTCGATGAAGAAGGAATTTTTAGAATTCCTGGTGATGTAAATAAAAAAACTGCGATTAGACAATTTGCTGATGCGACAGATACATTTGATGAAAATTTGACTACCAGTCCGTTCGAAGTTTGTAATGTTATTACTCAATTTATCCGAGATATACCTGATTCAATTTTGATGAATTCGAATTTGCAAACAGTCATAGAAATTTACGATGTTAATGATGCAAAAGATTTTGTTAATACCCTTTACTTTATAAATAGAGCTCTTTTTTCAAGAATAATCGCGTTTTTTACTTTAATCACAAAACATCCATCGAATAGAATGAATGCATCGAATATAGCTATTATTTTGTCTCCCATTTTGATATGTGATCCGCAAAATCCTGCATTCATTCTTCCAAAAAATATCATAGAAATTTTCCTAAATCATTATGACGAAGTATTTTCTACAATTCCCGCACTACTTCCAAATGGTGAATGGATGCCTAGCGAACAATACGAAAAATCCCTTGGAGATCTAACAGAAAGTTTCTTTTGCCAGAGTACTTACATCAATCCTAAAATTTCTTCGATGGAAGATGTAGAAAAGAAATTAGAACCTAGTGAGCAGATTTGTCGTAATATCAGTATTGATGAAGATAACATAGGTCATATTCTCAAGTTCTTACTTTGTTCGGATAGAGATGAAATGGCCATTTCAGAGCAGATACTTGAAAATCTATAACATGCATTTACTTTGTTTTTATTAAAATTACTGTTTAATTAATTTCATTATTACATTTTATTACGTCCTAAAATAAAATAATGTTAGTTACCTAAACTAACCAAGCCAGTCTAGGTTACTTCTTCAAAGATTAATTTTGTAAAATTACAATATTTAAAAATATATGAGCTCAATCGAATAAAAACTGATATCAATTGCATAATGATCGATATTTATGCTTTTAAAATTCTAAAAAATCTCTAAAAATTTCTCATTTTTTGAATTTTGCTATAAAAATTGGCATTTTTTAGTTTCATAAAATCAAAATTGAGATTTTTTTTGGAATTTCATGAGTTCAAAAATACAATCTACTATAAATGGAGAATCCAATTCATAAGGTTTTAATTTGAAAACATTCAAAATGTTAAAATTCCATCAAAAAATCCAGAATTTAAATTGAAATATATAGGTCATTTCAAAAGTCAAATAATAATATACAAATTTCGATATAAAACCTTTCAAAATGAGCAGTGAGCGCGAGAAATGCATTGCTATGGCAAGAATACTCAGTGACTTGCCAAACAAAGCACTTGATATGGTCAAGTACGTAAAGCGTGCTATTGAGCTTAATCCAATTTTAGATGCATCAGAACGTTCTCTTTTAATGGTATCTTATAAAACACTAATCTCTACTCGTAGACAAGGTTTACGCCATCTTTTATTGCAAGATGATGAGGTTAGTGAATCGTCCGATGTATGCAAGCATAAAATTGAGCAAATTAAAAAAGATTTAGTGACAGAATTAGTTAACATTTGCAATGAACTCTTCGATTTACTCGATAATACGCTTATCCCAAAGACTACAGATCCAGAATCCATCGTTTTTTATCAAAAATTAAAGGCAGACTACTATAGATACATTTGCGAAGCCCAGACAGATGAAGCGTTTGAAAATGCTAAGCAAAAAGCAATGGAATCATATGAATCAGCACTTTCTGTGTCAAAACAAAACCTTCAATCATTTACTCCAACATCATTGGGTTTGATTTTGAACTATACTGTCTTTTTGTTCGAAATTGCGGACAAAAAACAAGAAGCTATAAACTTAGCACAAGAAACTTACCAAAATTGTGCTCCTCTTATTGAGCAAAACACTGAAAATTCTCGTGCAGAAGCATCAGACATAATTCGTCTCCTTGATGAAAATATTAAGATGTGGGAGACAAGTTTAGAAGAACCCGCTACAGAGGAGTGATTTTTTATTTATTATAAATATTATTGATTATGAGGGTTTAAAAATCATATTGTTTTTCATCAATATATACAAACATCAACCAATAATATAGTAAACTATAACTAATTATTATGAAACTACTGTCAATATCTCTTATATTTAGAATAGCTGGTAATATGAATCAAATCACCAGTTTGATAAGCCTAACGAACAAGTTTCTACAAATTTCTCACATTACAAACTTAACAATCCGAAATTAATCTAATTTTTTATTTGATAACCTTTATTCAAAGAAAGGTAATCTCACCTATAATATGTAGATCTAAATGTCAAGTTTTCATCAAATTTTGGTTATTGCCAAAGGTTATATTAATCAAATTTTTGAATTAATTTGAAAAGAGATAAGTATTTTAATAAAAACGTCACAAAAATTTCATTTATTCATCTTCTTCCTCATCATCGTCGTTAGGGGCAACAAATCCTTTTTCTTCATCTGCTTCGTAGAGGATTGCGAGGATCTTCTTGACCATTTCGTCATCCTCATTGTCCTGGCAGAAAGTTTCAATCTTTCTGAGCTTATCGTAGTAGAAATCTCTCTCTTCATTAGCCTGTGTAACTTCTTCGTTGAGTTCTTCGATCTTCTTCTTAGCAGCAGCAAGTTCCTTGCTAGCAGCAGCGCTAGCAGCAGCTCCTGGTCCTGGAAGTGCTGTCTTAGCTTCTTTTCTTGCAACTGGCTCTTTCTCTGCGGCTGGAGCTGGTTTCTCCTTTCTTACTGGTGCAACTGTATGCTTCTCAGCTGCAGAAGCTCCACGGCCTGGGATTACGCCTGGTCTTAATTCACCTGGCTTTGGAGCGGCAGCTGCTGTATTCTTATCCTTACGCTTAGCCATACCAGCTGGCTTGCCTTCTGTTACGGAGCTTGTTGGCTCTTTCAGCTTCAGCTTACGACGTCTCTCGACTGGATCGTAGTCTGTTGGTGGTTGTTGCTGAGAATAGTAGCCGTGGATCCACTGGAAGAGCTCAAGGGAAGCCATGTACTTGCCCTTGACGAGTGTATTTACATCGATGTACTGCTTGATACCATTCTTATCGAAAGCCTCCTGGAGAACCTTGTAATTGTTGATGATATCTGGTGCTTGAACAGCATCAAACTTGACATTCTTAAGATGGACTGTTCCTGGGTGAATAGCATCGATAATCTGGCAAAAGGCGGCTCCATTTGACATATCTTCGACTTTAGTGTAGTTGATCTTGAGGAGATCGTTAACCCACTCAAGAAGTTCTGCGCGGCCAACGAAATAAACGCCGCTCATCATACCCATCGCTTTCGACATTTTTTTGAGAGTTTACTTGATATACGTTTATTAAAAAAGTTTTGTTCAACCGAAATTTAAATTGAAATTTTGTGAGATTAACCCGATAGATTCTCATCGTTCAATTCGTTTCTCATGCTGAATTTGTGATGTCACTTTGCACATATCGATAAATGTGTCATTTTTAAGTTAAATAAACACAAAGATCGGATTTTCTTTTCAGAAGTGAAATCTTTTGATTGCATTTCAACAATAGACTTTTAAGAATCAGCTATATCTCTACTTTGCACTCAAAAATGCGTGTCATTCCGATAGACAGGTTTGAATTTCACTTCAATTCTTAATTTGGTTTGAGAGATTTACTGTATTGTGACTGTAAAGATCGAATAATCAGGATATGCTAGAACTATTATTTTCAATGGTTGCTATGCCATGTACATTCTCCGAGACATCTCATTTTGAATTGCTAAATTCAACAAAATTTGCGCACAATTAACAATCGAGATAATAGTTAATGCATAAAAATCGATGTAATAATATACAAATCCACTAAACTCATACTTTAGTTAATATTTCGGACATAGATCGCTCATTTTGAGAATTTTCGATATAATACATATTGAATACATTGCTCATCCATGGCCTAACAAAAATTAATGAAGACTTGAGCTGATTCATGCTATATTCGAATGATGAAGAATAATTGCATGGAATCTGATAAAATCAAATTAGATTTCATAAAAATAGAAGAAAATGTCATAATTACTCGATTAAGTCATAAAAATTTCTTTATATATAAAAATTTTATAAGAAAATTATGGTAAATGATTAAATCTGCAAACATATTTATACACTTCGAGTAAAACCAATAAAGTTATTCAATAGTAAAAAGTAAGATTTATCATATATAAATAAACAAAACAATAATAATAATAAAATAAGATCAATTGGTGTATCCATCGACCAAATAAGTCAAAACCTTTCCCTGTTTGATCTGAATTTCACCTCTTTCTTCAATTTTATAGTTTCCTCCGTAAATCAACTCGTAAAGAGCTCTAGAGACGTGGACCTTCATTGGAATACCATTATGTTCCATCTGTTGTGCGTAAGAGATTGCAGGACCGAAAATTTCGAAAGTTGGTTTACCAATTCCGATGACTCCTGCAACAACTGGTCCTCCAATGTGTTGGCCAACTCTTACTCTCAACGACATTCCGTGGTTTTCGTTGACTCTTTTGATTGCGTTAATTGCTTCGAGGCCAAAGTCAACTGTAGCCCTTGCGAACTGAAGCAAATTCGGTGTCTCTGCGAATATTCCTCCAGCGGCCATGTAACAGTCTCCGATGCATTTAATTCGCTCCATAACAGGTAACGACTTCACAATTGCATCGAATTCGGTGAATATCTCATTGAGAACACCAGTTATAACCTGTGCGGTGTTGGATGAGCACCAAGGAGTGAATTCGACAATATCAATAAAGGAAATCGTGGCAGAACCGACCGAGAACGAGATATTCTTCTCTCCTGCCTGCACTCTAGGCACAAGGGATGCGGGGAGAATCGTTGCAAGTAATTGGTCGCTCTTTGCCCTTTCTTCAGAAATCAATTTGTTGTAAACAAAGGTTTGCGTTGTATTTCTGATGGTAAAGATCACGTTGTCACCAACTAAAGCTGACGTTCTCGATATGAAAAGGAACTTTTTGTCAGGATCTCCTTTGATATACTGTACATTGCATGAACTCGTCTTCATTGTTGGATCGAAGAGTCTGTTCAGCTGCGAATTAGTCTCAGGAGAGAAGTTCGATGACTGTATGTACCCTGAGAAAGAATTATTTGTCAGAACTTCCTTGAAAAGGGCGTTTGCGGCCTTGTTCGCTGAAATTACCTTGTAATTCGCACCGGACGTGACCACAATTGCGTCAGGAAGTTCCTCGACCAAGTTATCGTAGAAAGCGTTGTCTCTTGTGCTGGAATCTCCACTTCCATGTGCGAAATTGCCGCTGAGGACGGTCATGATGTAGGAATTCTGCATGACCATGGAGGTTTGACAGGCCAAAAGTAAACTCAAAGCGTATTTGAGTTTTTCATTAATAACTCTTGTTGTCAGAACAACACAAATATAACAAATAACGATAATTACAGTCAAAACAATAGCTGACGATACGAAAACAGGGATTTTCGCGTTCATCAGCTCATCAATACGAGAATCTACTTCCAAATACGCTTTATACAGGAAATCATCGTATAACCTGAACATTGCGATCTCATCTGCCAACATTAGATTGTCAGTATTGACAGTTGTTGACTTGTTCAGGATTATTGGGTCAATGATCGAGTGGAAGAAGATGTACGTGTACTTAATCAGTATGTCCGGTGAGAAACAGTTCAATCCGTCCCTCGAATCCACTGGTAAATGCGATTGGTCGCAATTTGCGAGGACTTTCGCTTGTTGGACCAATTCCTTGAAGTCAGGGAATGGATGGCCATTGCCATATCCGTATCTGAGGGCTGAATAATACTCTGTCAGATTGAATTTGTAAACTTCAAGGTGTAAGTACTTTGTTTTGACATCTGCTGTATCAGTGATCATTCTCCTGGTCATGATACATGTCAAATCATTGATCTGCATGGAAAGTAAGTCCAAAAAAGTGGCAACTCCCAAAATATTATCTAAATGTTGGGAATTTTCAATCAATCTCTGGCCAACGTCGATATACATCCTTGATATGATGATATTGATGCATACTGCGGATACCATGAACACAAATAATGCAATCATGATCAAATTCAGCTCAGTTGACCTTGTATTTTCATCGGAAGCGGCCGTGAGTACTTTCATGAGGTTCTCTTCCTGTCTGTTCCGTTCTATGTCGTTGCCAATGTGGGTAGTACTCGTTAAATTTCCGGATTTCATCGAATCATCCTTGTTCACGGTTCTGAGACTTTCGCTGATCTGAGAAACAACATTTTTAGGAAGGACCAAAAGAGTTTTGTAGATTGTTTCTTTGTCACGTTTGATTTTTCTGTAGACAACGATCATGACAATGAAAAGAACCAAAGCAAGGAAAAGGGAGAGTGCGTATTGGTCAATTGTCATCACTTTGTGCATGAAATCAACACTGGATTCGATGTATTCTGTCAAATTATTCGTGGCCGAACAAATTTTATCGACAACGGTCTCGATATTGTAGAACGGATTACGCATTGATGGAGACATGAGTGAATAAGGGGTAATGGAAGTATCGTTCATGTCAACAACTTCGGTTAATCTCATAACAATATCATTAAAGGCAGATAACAGAGAAGTAGTCTCAGTTTTGTTAGTAACGAAGTTGTTACTGAACGATGTGTACTGTAATGACCCGTTATAGAGCAAAAACCTCGTTGCATCTATGTATTTGTTTCCAATCTTGTAATCTCTGAAATCTGCGAAGCTTTTGATACTGGCAATCAGCTGACTGATACAATATTTCACTTGTTCAACTAAAGATGTCTCATTTGCGAAGCTTTTCATGTTATAATCTGTGAAATTAACAACATGAAGCTTATTCAAGAGATATAAGTGGGCGAACGCTGTTCCTGCTGATGCATAGTACCTTGCCCAAGCGGTATTGTCCGAAAATCCAAGAGGTTTTTTAATTCTCTTCTTATATGAGAGAATCAAAGCCAAAAGAACTACAGCGACGCAGAAGCTAAAGACAGTGATTATTCCTACAAGCATATTGGTCGTAACTAATGAAGGAATATGGAGACTATCCATCAAATCCGTCAAAGTTCTATTATCCTCTTGTTTTCTTGCAAGCGTTTCATCATCAATCTCTTCAGTGAACACCACACTCTCAGATACTTCATTTGCAGAAGAAGATTCCAAAGGCATATTCATTATGATCATAGATGGCAGCTGAGGGAAGGCGTGGAGGCCTAATTCTTGGGTATGGTCTTCATGTACCTTTATACCTCTCGAAAGCATCCTCACTTTATCCGTAGCGTCTTTGTATTTGTCCGCATCGTTTGAAACTTCAATTAAATAGGTCGAATACGTTCTATACAAAAACCTGTTGTTTGGCAGTTGCACTAACAATAAATTGAATTGGGCGTCACATTTTGATTTCATCGAATAAGCGTTTGCTATCGCGCTATCCAATTCTGATATATTGCCTTGTATGACTTGGTCCCACACATGTCTTAATCTTCTTTTGGCTGCGGATATGTCTTTCTGTACTTTTGTTAATTTCTTCTTTAATTCGGAAGTTAAATTGGATTCTCGCTGTTGGAAGATGATTTTGGACTGTGATAATGCCTGCTTAACCATGATACCATGCATCTTCCTTTGTATTATGGTTCTGATGATGTAATTTAATGTATCAGATAATTCTGGGTAAATTGCAACAAATTTGCCGTAAATAACCATGAACATTGTATTGTCTGGGTCTTTATCAGTGATATACTTGAAGATGGTGAAGTCTAATGATGAAGGATGGGCAAAATGAAATCCGATCGTAGAACAAACGTATAACTTCATGGAATCAGGCTCATCGAGTAGTAATTCCTTGTTTTCGTATAAATTGTCTAAGTAAACTAGCGCTTTTCTGATGATTGTCTGAGTTATGAAGTGACTTAAGATAAATACGGCAAAAAGAAGGCCAATGAATATAAATAGACCGGCCACGTTCATATGTATTTTCAAAAATATGAAAATTGCGAATACAATGTAAGCACAAAAGCCAAAAATCGCAAAAGTTAAGAAAATCGTGTTATGTAAGAAAGAAACAAAGGAAAATGTCTTATACATTGTGAAGTAACATGATAAGGCAGCAAATGCAAGTGCAATTGTAAGTATTCCTTGAGGAATTTTCGGTAAATATGCAGTAAGTCCAACTCCTATTGCTTCGAATGACTGAACTTGAAGAGAACCCATCTGTTGGACACCGTTGATGCACATAAATGATGTAGGACGGAAAATGAATGAATAAGAATAAAGTTTTCTGTAGAAGAAATAATAAAAAACGAAAGTAACAACAGTGAGAACGATTGTAACGATATTGTACGCAAGATCATGGTAGGTATCTTCCTTGGCTATCATCTTGCTTACAGTCTCAAAGCAGATTTCTAAACAAGGAACATGAATTATGTAACCAACAATTGAAATAAAGAGATGAATTATGTAAATAACAATAAGACTAAGTGAACCATTCTGCTCGTAATACTTTGCAGAGATCGTTATCAATACAAAGAACGAAAAAATTAAAATGAAGTAAATAATTGCAACAACAAATGAACACTCATCTCTGTATTGAATTGGTACGATATTCCAAAAGATTGATAACCAATTAAAGAATTTATATACGACTTTATCCCTTGGATGTAAAGAAGCAAAGTTGGATAGGAACATAAGACCAAACATTTGCAATGTTCGGATAACTGATATGATGCTATGAAGGCTGTAGAGTCCCGGTAGCATCGAATCCATGTAATTGAGCAAATTTTGATACATTCTGAAGAGTTTTTTTGATTTTCTCTCTTCTAGCAATCCTCCATACTTCGACGATGATGAAAAGTCTGATATTCCAAAAGGGGATGATGAATTTCCTGTCGAAGTATTAGATTTCATCCACTTGGAAATATCACGTAAAGAAAAATTACGTCCTCAAAAAAATAACGTATCACAAATTTTTAATTCATTTAAATCATTTGATACATGCAGATGAAATTTATTTTATTAATTTGAAAAATCGCCAAAGTTAAATTTTAATAAAAGGTTAATTGCAAATAATGAATATGATCATTAATACATCTTAAATGTAAAATTGAAGACTGTTGATATCTGAATTTTTAAACTTTGAAAACATTACATTGAAACAAAATTAATTGAATAATATGATATTTGAGTGACTGGTAACGAATGATCCAAAAAAATTCAATGTGACAAAATTCAATTTAATATAAAATTCAATGAAAACACCAGTCTCATCACACTTTTCAATGTTCGATTTTTAAAAACTGTTTAAAAATGGAGCTTATATTGAAATAGTGTAGAGACTAAAAATTACCACAGACTATTTCAGAGGATTGAGTTGCCACTCAATCCTCTGAAAAGTCTGAAGTAATTTGCAAAATTTATTCAAATTGAAATAATATTGTTTTCACATAATCCATTTCATATCACTCATTTAACTTTTGAATACTATAAATTTTGACAGAAATTTCAAAAGAGCAATTTTTCTTAATCAGTAATTATTGTTTAAATCAAAAACTACGCCTCAATTATGAAAATACCTCAATTTTTTTGAATTGTTGTTAAAATTTGTTGACTAAACCCTTTTGGTTTTATAGTGTTATTCTTGTATTATTCGAAATATCAGAAATTAATAATTTGCGCAACAGTAAATAATTTCTTTGAATTGTTCAAGTTTAAATGGCAACAGCTTGATTTTCATATATTTTAACTTAGCAGAGGTTTTATTGACTTGTACAATTTAATAAACGAATTAATTCTCAAACAACAAATTTGCGGAATATTTCGAACATATTGATTATGTTTTCTCATTTACACATTTAGCAATCAATATTAAACCAAGATATTTAATGATGAGTACTTCTTAACTACATTTTATTCTCGAATTATATTTTTTAGGCTTGATTTTGCCCTAATCAGCTTAGTAACAATTTAAGGAGGAATGATATAAAGTGCCTTAATTTGGAAGTTACAATTTAACAACCGCCATATTCACTAGTTCTTTGAGCCTGAGTTACACTTTGCAACTAAGCAAATTCAACAAGCTATGTAGATATAACCACGTTTTGCACAGTATTCAAGGAATAATTGCGATTATTAACCAAATAAATATTTAAACCACCGAGAAATAATATGATAATATGTTTAGAACATCAATATTATCATTTACCTTACAAAAGCAAGCAAATTATAATAGCAATACAAAAAAAATTCATTATTTTAATACAATTAAATCAAACATATTTATTAATATACATTATCTTGACTGTGCAAGCTTAGGTATTACCAACTTAACTTTTCCATCCATAGGAATTGGTCTGAAACCATTGAGTTGAAGCTTTTGAGCATTTTTAGTTGTTTTGAACTGTACAAGCTTTTGACGTGTTCTTGGAGTAGAAATAGCCATTGGAGTGCGTTGGAACATTGTCTCTGTATCAAAGGAAGCATCCAAAGGCTGCGGGAAGTAACCTTTATCGCGATCCATAACTAATTTATTAATTCTGGCAACAATTGGATGTATTGCGTCTTCTCGAAGTCTTTCAACACGTTTACTCTTCCTCATTATGATATTATTAAGCTGTTGCTGCTGTTTATCATAATCAAGTTCAATTTCTTCACGCTCGGACGCCATCGCTGCTTCAGCCTTCTTCTGAGCCTTTTTTGTTTCCTGAATTTCTAATAAATCAGCATCTCTCTTAAATTGAGCTGCCCGGTAGTAATCTTTTTCGAAAATTAATGATTTTTCTTGGGATCTGAGCTCTGTTAACCTAACAGATTGACGTGAGAATGCTCTTAGTGTACTTTCATCTTCCCACTTTTGAACAAATTTATCTAATTTTTCTGTGTATTTGCTGTCAAGTTGTTCTTGCATTTTCTTCTTCTCTTCAAGTAGGGCATTGATATCCTGATCAAACTTCTCATTGATTTTTTGTATTTGTGCGTGTAATTCAAGAATTTCGTGTTTTAATTTATGTTTTTGAAATGTTGCATTATCTTCGTTTAAAGAATCCTTGCATATTTTGATAAATCTTTCTGAATCATTCTTATATTGTTCAGCTTCTTGATAATTACCCATCAACATGGAACTTACTTGCATTCTTTTGATGTATTGGGCAACTTGAGGTCTTTCCAATACTGATGGAAGTGTTCCACTCTTTCGAAATGTTTCTAAGGCTTTCTCACAACGAGGAGAATTGATTATGTAGTAAGTCCAAGGGAAATTCTGATCTGATTTGGGTGCTTTCTTTGGAGAATTCTTCTTGGAGCTGCAGTTCGATCCAACTGCCTTATCAAAGTTGTCTATTGGTGTTATAGTCATAATTCAGAAAAATTGAGCAATAGTTGTAAACAAAAAAGTGCTAAAAAATTTATTTGTGAGTATTTCTGACATGTTTGTATCATATCGAAACTCAAATTAAGAGTGAATATTGAATGCTTACATGCGTACAAGCACAAATTAGATACGGATTACTGAAATGCCATATTATTTGAGTGTATAATATTTACGCTAACATGATACCATCTGCATTATCATCATGAAATTCACACTATTTAGCGTTGGATTCATTGCTAAAAGATATACATTTTCAGTCTTATAAAACGCATTTTCATAATTTCGCGCAATTTAACAATACTCCAACTCTCATACACAGTTATCATTACCACGGTCTCATTTCAAGAAGAATTGATTAATAAAATCTAAGGTCTAATGATTTATTTACTCAATTCGAAAAATATTTTTGATTATAAATTCTTATTTGTTCATGGTTTATATAAAGGTGTAGAAAGAAAAACGAATAAAGTGTTAAAAAATACTTGAAAGCACCTTATAGTGCAAGGTCAAATATAAATATCAAGAAAAAGAATCTAAGCATAGTTTTGTATCACATGACCTAATGGCAGGATGTGAAAATGAGTATAGAGAAACCAATTTACAGTTTCCTCTTCGGAATGCATCTCTTGAATGTAATTAAATTTGGTGGTTTGCTTATCGCTCCTTTTATATACTGTAATCATATTTCTAATATCATCATTACAACTTAAATAATAAACAGTTCTTGTAACATCTTTATCTGACATTCCTTTTTCATTGCTTAGAACATAGCAATCAATGATATCTTTAAATATCTCGTAATTATAATCTTCGAATAAAAAATTTCGGACTAATGTAATTGTTCCTATTGAATAATCGAGTTTAAAGTCTTTTTGACCAGCTACAGCATATAACAACTCTTCAACTGAATCAAATTTATTTTTAATTGTAACAATTGCAGCTGCAGCAGCTTCAAAATTTGACGAATATCCCAATGTACTTTTTGGGAGATGTGGATTATTCTCTCTTGAGATATTATAATTTCTCACAATAATAAATGAATCAAGTTTGTTATTGATAACAACTATAATACATCGATCTGCCATGGAACCTGAAAGCCCTTCAATATCATCAAATGAAACATCGAGTTTGATTTTAATGTGAATACGGCCACGCTCAATGAAATCTTCATTGAGAGAATCGTTTTGAACTATTCTATAATCTATGTATTTGTTCATATTAAAATTTTTAAAAAGTGACAACAAAATTTTGAAATCGTTTGCAAGCATTCAAATTTTCAGAACTTTTAACGTTCAGGAAAATTAGAATTTGAAAACGATTAAAGAAATTGTTTGCAATTTGGCTGTAGGCAAGCTCCGTCCTAATTGCGATTTTTTAAATTCTTCACAGTATACTATTTGAAATGCGAAATTCGACTGTTTCTTTACTATTAAAAAGTGCTGCAAAATGAAGAGTTGTTCTTTTATAATAATGTTAATCTATATTTCATCAACAAAGTGAATTGGAATATCAAACAATGCTGAATTTATAAAGCATTTTAAAATCAAAACTTCAATCGATATAAAATAGAAAAGATACAAGATTTTTATGTTCTATATACCAATTTTGTACTCATTCTTCAAGAATGTAACAAAATCAATGTTGTGGAGAAATAATTGCATGCTCTACAGTAATCCTATCTGGCTTTCATTTACACATGTTATCTGAGTTTCTTCAAAAAATGAAAGCTTTTTTAAAGGTCCTCTTTGTATGCTTTATCATATGAGAGAGAGAGAGATAAATCATTTTTACAGTATGAGGACTACTGATGTTCTCAAATATGAATGTAATGACTAATTATATGAGAAATCTTAATATCGAATACATTTCAAAGTTTTCATACAATTAAAGGCTATTGAACCTACTAAATAAGGAGATATATAATAGACTTTCAATGCATACTCACAAATTCCTTTATTTTGATGATAAATTGAAATTTGAAGTTCTAGTAATCAAAAAATATTTTCCACCATAGAAGCCAAAATGCTCAATCATATCCCAGCATTTATCCTAAAAATAATCAAAGTTGATAGAGTACCCGAAAAAAGTTGTAGACGCTGAAATAAGTTGTATACGGGGAATTTCTTAATGCAAAATTGTTGGAAACAACACAAAGGATCATATCGCATGCTAAATTCATGTTTTAGCAAAAAGCATCCAATATCAAATTACGATTTGATAGAAATTTATTTAAATAATAATAAAACTGGTTTGTTTAATTAATTTAACTAATAATTAAGCTTTATTCATTATACATACTCGTTTTAAATTGGAATAAAATTTATAAATTTAATTTTTGACCTTCTATAGGTAGAATTGTATCATCTTCCTGTGTATCTATCTTCAATGTGTATTTTATTCCTTGGGCAAAGACTTCATTCAGTTTTTAATCTTTGTAAAGATTGCATTTGTACAAATGGTATAGGATACGTAATTATACAATAATCGCCTATACAACAACTTTTGATTCATTTACATCAGGATTGGAAGACTGAATTGTAGAGGTCTTGGAATCTTGTGAAATGAGCTAAAGAATCCTATAATTCAGTGCACTAAGCTTAAACATCATTGTCAATGAAGTAACCTAGAGTTAGTTATAATGATGCTGGTGGTAATCAACCACAGAACTAGGCACAGATGAAAAATGAAAAAAATTTAAACGAAAACATAAATTTTAAACGGCAATTGTATACATTTCCTTTTTTTTTCTACTTGCAAACATAATGATAATTACTAACAAAATAAATTTTCTTATTTTCAACAACTTATGTTTTGATTAAAATTTTACAAATTAAATGGAATATTGATTAAATTAATAACTTAAAATTGGTCTATGTACACAATAATTTAATTTATTATAATTGTTTAGTCTAAAATAGTTATTCATTGTTAAGATTGAATCGATATCACGCGGAATTGGGTCAGATGCCATTATAACAAATTAGCATGTTCTATCCCATATATTCAATATATTCTCCCATAGAATTCCATATCTAAACTGTCTGTATGAAGATGTATACAACTTTTTTCGGGTACTCTATGAGAAAAAAAATTAGATCAAAATTCAGATGGTTTCAGTTGAACTTTATCAGACAAAACATGGTTTTGTTCATTTATTGATAAAGCCTTCATCTGATCCAGAAACATATGTAGTCACAGTAGATTCAACAACAGGAAACCCAATGTTCGTTGGAATTCCAATGGATGACATCTTTCCGGATTATGGATTGGCGATTTCATACATTACAGAAAAGTTTGAGTCCAAGCTTAGACTTAAAGGTGAAGGTCTTATTGGTATGGCTCAAGCTGATAATCAAGTTTTTATTGCGATAATTGATAAATCAGAAACATCTGGCGTTCTTCCAGGCGGCCACACAATCAAAGTAGTTAAACATGTCACATTTTATTCAATTAATACGTCAAATAACAAACAAGCGAAAAATCCATTTGAAGATTTCCAATTAAATGATAATCATTACTTCTGCGAGACATACGATTTAACAAGATTATATCCGTCGAAATTTAAACCATACGAACCTGACGAATCTTTCTGCTGGAACAATGGCTGGACAAAACCATTCAAAGACATGGGAATTCGCAATTGTTGCATCACTCTCATGCAAGGTATCGGATATACATACGAAGGACCAGAGAAAGAATACAAAATCGCTCATCTTTGCAGAAGATCATCTGTAAATCCAGGAACACGCTATGCAGCTCGTGGATTGAACAGCAAAGGATCTCCAGGCAATGAAGTTGAAGCAGAATTGATCTTTTTCAAGGGAGAAAACTGGGTTTCTGTCAGATGGAGACGTGGATCAATTCCAATTCACTGGGCAACCGTTCTAAACAGCAAAGTTTCCTCTCCTATACACTGTGTCGACAAAGAAAACTACTTTGAAGGAACTCCTGAATATTTTATCTCATTAAAAGAAAGGTTTGGAGTTCCAGACATACGCTGCGTCTCTCTTTTACAGACAAACGAAGGCCATTCCGAAGCAGAAATCCTCGAATACTTCAAAACAGCGATTACAAGATTATACGACGCCGGAGTTGACAATGTCTTCTACACACCGTTCGATTTGAACCAGAGATTACACGAAGATGGCTCCGGTGAAGCCATGAACGACTTTGTTTCTTATATCGGACCGATGATGGACGATGCCGGCTTCAACATCGGCCAAGGCCTCGAAATCAAGGAACTCCAGAAGTCCCTCTTAAGATTTAACTGCGCAGATAGCTTGGATAGGACGAACTTGGCAACTTTCTACTTCGCACTTTTTGTAACCGCCAAATGGTGCCGAGAAAATGGATATGCGAACAAAGTCGACGAGAACGCACTTCCCAACGAAGTTGTACCGCAGCATATCATTGATTTCCTCGCTAAATCATTCGTAGAGTGCGGAAACATCGTTGCGATGCTTTATACGAATACTCCCGCAATTAAAGTTAAAGCGATCAAGAAATTCAGCCCGTCATTAGAGAATACATCGAATGATACCGCGATTACACTACAACGCCGTCTGGAAAACGTCATGAATGACCATGTCAGACAAAGAACAATCGAATTATGGACAGATCCTACACCTTTGACATGGTCTCACAGACTAAGTCACACATACATCAGAGTTATCGAAGGAGCTCCACACATGATCGTTGAAAATACAGTCAGTGCCTTCAAATTAGAAAAAGGCACTTTAATCATCGGATTACAGACACCTATGCTTCTCACAGCAGTCCTAGTAATGTTCCTACCAGCAAGAGATGAGTCTCCGCACTTCATGAAGATCGAAACAGGACTTACAATTGATGATCTCTCCGAAATTGCAAATCTTACACTTCCAACCATAGAAAACGCCATGTGGTCACGTTACAGGGTCGGCATGCAAGAGAAATGGGGCTATTCCCACAAAGGAAACAAGTTCATTCGCTTCATCAAATTTACTTTTTCAGAAGAGAAGCCAATTGTCATCGGAAACATCAAAATCGAAGCGAAATCATGCCCAAGCCAAGCAGGAATCATCACATTACAAGACTGCAAACAACCTGACGAACAAACTCTTAAAAGATTCGATTACGGTTTTAACGGTTTTGTAAACTCCAAACGGACCTTATCTGATGCATTGTCATTAGAGAAACTCCGACTTGGTCTACATGTTCCTGATGAAATACGTGTTGAATTAGCCCTAAAAAGTGGAATTTCTCCATGGCAATGTGATTCTTTCTCGAGAATCACTGCTGCTTCCAATGATTTCTGCTGCAACTGCATGAAGAAGCTCCAGGAGAACGAGATGATCTACAGAATGAGACAGGCATGGCTCTTACAAGGTCTAATTGTAGAAGAAGATAAACTTGGCCAGCCAAAAACGATAAATATCTGTCAGAACTGCATAGACGAAATATTCGCATATTCCCACGGAACAGAACCGTATGAAGATGCTTATCGTACAGCCGTCAAACCGCCAAAATCGCCGACGATAACTTTACCATTCAATGAAGTTGTTGATTCTACGAAAGACATTTCCTCGAACACACAGGCTTTCGTTTACAAAGGAAATGATAAGATTTTGACAGAAAAATTTGAAGTCAAAGATTCACTTCACTTCACTTTATCATTTACACCGAATTCCATTTTATCTTTTGTTTGTTTTGATACAGATACAGAATTTCAAGTCAAAATCCAAGATAAAATTTGCCAAAAAGTGGCACTGTCAGACAATAGAATTATATACAAACTTGAAGAGCCTTTGATATCTAATTTAGTAGATTTTGAGATTAGTTGTGATGGTGTCCATTCTGTAGATAATTTCAGAGTTTTTGGAAGTGTCATGGAGATAAACGAACAAAATCCAATTGACATCAAAAACTACCAAGGAAAAGTGATTTCTTACGACATCCCTGTTCAGATGTTTACTGACGGAAACATAAGACAGGAGAAGTGCCAGATTTTGGACAAAAACCCAATCCACAAATTTGTTGTGGAGATGAGAGTTGGAGGTCCAAACAATTTGAGTTTCGTGATTCAGTTTAAATCGCAAGGAAAAACTGTTTACGAAAAGAAAATTATTTTGCCTGAGACATCCCCAGGAAACAGGATGTCCTTCAAGACTGATTGTACTCAGCCTTGCGATGCTGTCGTTGTTAATTACTTAGATAGAACATCTTTCTTTAGACAACCTCTTTTCAGATTTATTTATAAGAAATAAAATATTATCTATTCTTGTGTCACGTTTTTATAAATACAGAATCAAATTTTTTATTTATACCTGGAAACATCAATGCACCAAATTAAATACATGGATATTTTATGATGAAAAACACAGTTCGCTTTCAATTTTTCAATGAGGTAATATCTATATTCTGCATGTGTGTACTTTTAAAGAATGCTTAAATGCATCTTAAATTTATAAATGAAAAATGATTTACCAAAACACAATTTGGGTTTTAAATAGCTTCATTTGAAATCATTGAGGAATCTTTTGGGAGCAGTTGCTCATAAACATTTTCTCAAAAATGAATCATGAATGATTTTTGGAGTTAATGTTGGTCACACGCATGTAATCTGGAGGTTGAATATTAGCTTAATTTTCGTATTTAATGAGTAGTAAAAGGTAAATAATTCATTTTGCAGAAATATGGATCGAGTAAATAAAAATATGGGTAACAGTTCTTGGCTAATCAACAACAAATAATATTTATGAAACTACCGACCACTGGTGTACTTCATATTTCATTGAATTTAATTTTAACTTGATCGATTTTAAATTTAAAAATCAGTATTTTATATTGGATGAAATCATATAAAGAAGCACATTTATTGAGATTGTTGATATGATATTGACTGTCATATTTATGATTTTTGATTTTCGAAATTTGGTTTTTCAAAGTCGGTGAAATAATCTGAAAGAAAGATGTATTTTGTTGTGATTTTGCAAATGATGTGTCTATTTTAATATATTTATCATATGATGTTAAAAAATCACATTTATTTGGATTCAAAACCGTTATATTTTTTTTCTAACAATAATCGTTTTTGACTCAAATTCGAAGTTATTTATCATTATAATCGACTTTCGCATATGCATCTATGACATGTGATAAGCATATAATCACTGCAAATTTGCATTTTTGAGTGAACGATAAAATTGAGAGAATGCAACCACTCTTAAATAGTTCACAGTATTGAAGCGTATATACAATACACAGTCAAATTTATCAAAAATCGTAAGATTTTGATTTTTCTTATATCTCTCAATTTTTTTTCTATCAAATATTGTTTGAATACTCATATCATTTTTTCTTCTTCACTCATCTCATGAAGTGGATCTGGAACAACACAACACGTATCGCATTCGGAGAACACTGCGTCGTCGAACACCTGAAAGACTTCGTCAAACCTCATTCGCGCGTCCTCGTTACATTCGGAGGAGGCTCAATCGACAAGAACGGTGCTCGCACAGATGTCACAAAAGCACTCGCAGACCTTGAGTGCGAGACAGCTTGGGAGGGCGGAATCCCACCTAACCCAGAGATCAACAGACTCTTGGAGATCTCTAACTCCGCGAAGAACTTCAAACCAGACTTGCTCCTCGCAGTCGGAGGCGGCTCTGTCATCGACGCAACAAAGTTCATCGCAGCAGCAATGAACATCGACGATTCTGTCGACCCTTGGGACATCGTCTCGAAGGGCTTCTTGCCAGAGAAGATCACACCAATCGGAGCAGTCCTCACAATACCAGCGACAGGCTCTGAGTGGAATGACGGAGCTGTCATCTCGAGGAGGAGCACACATGAGAAACTAGTCATGTACTCAATATACCCAACATTCTCGATGCTCGATCCGATATACACAATGACAATACCAATAAGACAGCTCAGGAATGGTCTCTACGATGCAATGACACATTGCATAGATCAAGTTATCACACCACACGTTCTCCCGATGATGGACAACTTCTTCTTCTCAGTCATGAGAGAGCTCGTCGACATCTCAGGACCACTCCTCTCCAAGGACAAGTCTTCGCTCGAAATCCACGAGAGGCTCATCCAAGTGTGCAGCTTCGCTATGAACTACATCTTCGGACTTGGAAAGGACAAGTGCTTCGGCATACTACAATCGGACATATGCTGACAGCCAAGTGGGGAATCGATCACGCTTCGACACTCTCAATCATCACACCTTTCCTCCTCGAGGAGTTCATCGAAGAGCGCCAGTACAACCTTGCACGCGCTGCTGAGCGTGTTTTCGACGTCAAAGAAGGAACTGACGCAGAGAAGGCTAAAGCATTCATCGCTAAGCTGAGGGAGTGGATACGCGAGATCGGACAGTTCACTAAAGTCACAGACCAGGAAGGTGCTACAGTCTCACCGGGAGACGTCGACGAAGTCACAGAGATGGTCATGAAGTCTAAAGGCGGAAAGCCATTCGGATATCTCGACACCATCACACGTGAACACGTGCACCACATCCTCGAAAGAGCTTTGAATCAATAATAAACTGATTAATAAAGACTTAAAATTATAATAACATAAATATACTTTTAATTACAATATTCTTATTCTAATTATAAAATAAAACAAATAAATTCTAATAACCAATCAACGAAATTCATGCCTGATTAAAGATATTATCATACTAAATATTGTTATTTTAATCACTCTTTTGATTTTAATTCATTGAACAATCTTCGGAGTTTCAAAGCTACTAATTGCTGAATAAGGAAGAACATATTTATCTTTTATTATATCACAATGTTAATTGAATACATTGTATTTGATTCTAAAAGTAGCGAGGCTAATTTTTAGGTTTCATCAGTTGATATACAATGTTAACGTTTTGTTAGCATAATTTCAATCGTTAGAATAAAGAGAAAGAATACACGTCGCAAAGATAAAATCTCAGATTTCAATCACATAAGAAGTTAAATATAATGCTTCAATAAAAAGGCTAGTTAAAAGCTTTTATCTTCTTTATATTTCATTTCCAATTCTATTTGATTTAATTATTTAACATTAATAAACATCATGACATCATGATTTAGAACGATGGAGCGATTTATCTGAGAATTGTTGATATGATATTGACTGTCATATTTATGATTTTAGATTTTCGAAATTTGTTTTTTCGAAATCGTTGCAATATATTTAAAGAAAGATGTATTTTGTTGTGATTTTGCCAATGATGTGTCTATTTTAATATATTTATCATATGATGTTAAAAAATCACATTTATTTGGATTCAAAATCGTTATATTTTTTTTCTAACAATAATCGTTTTTGACTCAAATTCGAAGTTATTTATCATTATAATCGACTTTCGTATATGCATCTATGACATGTGATAAGCACATAATCACTGCAAATTTGCATTTTTGAGTAAACAAAAAAATTGAGAGACTAATACAATTTTCTCAAAATTTGAAATTCTCTCAATATTTGACTGTAAACAGTTGAATCCGCCCACATTAGCCGATATTAGATTTGCACTCCAAAATGTATTTCATTTTTAGGTTTTATTTACTTAAACTGATTTCGGTCAGAATTTTTAAGTTCACTTATTGAAAATACATGTCTGAACAGTCAGAAGTCGAGAAAGTCTCCGAACAAAACAAACAAATTATAGGAAAGGATGGAAAACCAGTTAAATACCTTCGTGGAAAAAAGGAAAAAAAGCAAAAAATACAAACTGAAAAGCCACCTTCACCTGATCCAGCAATATATATTGATGCTCGTGTTGGAAAAATCATTCATGTTGAGCCAGTCGAAAATTCCGAGTTTCTTTATACAGAAGATGTCGACGTTGGAAATGGAATTACCAAACATATTGTTACAAGTGTCAGAAATTATTACACACTTGAGCAATTACAAGACAGAAGGGTTTGCGTCTTCGTAAACATGCATCCAGCTAAAATGTGTGGTGAAACATCAGAAGCAATGCTATTTGGTGCAACTACAAAAGATCCTGACAGATGTGAGCTTTTGGATCCTCCATCTAACTCCCCAGTTGGAGCCCGAATCTTCTTTGGACATTTCACTGAAGGTGAAGTAACCGGACAAGACCGCCGCAATTCTCATTGGAAGAAAATGCTTGAGCACTTGAGCATCAATGATCAAGGAATTGCATGCTACAAAGATGAGCCACTTCATACTGCTGAAGGAAATATTACTGTTCCAAGTCTAAGAAATTGTGGTTTTCATTAAGCAAAAGATAAAGTAAAAGCCATTATATTATAAATTAAACTTTACTTAGTAGTAAGTGGATTTTTTATATAAATTTGATTTTAGCACAAGGTTTTTAATGACCTAATGCAGAAGTATAACGTTCTACTTTAAAAAAGAATTTATCATAGAATTTTTATTAGAATTAGATTATGGATACTGCAATTAAAAGTAAATTTATATTATTATAATTTTAAGTCTTTATTAATCAGTTTATTATTGATTCAAAGCTCTCTCGAGGATGTGGTGCACGTGTTCACGTGTAATGGTGTCGAGATATCCGAATGGCTTTCCGCCTTTAGACTTCATGACCATCTCTGTGACTTCGTCGACGTCTCCCGGTGAGACTGTAGCACCTTCCTGGTCTGTGACTTTAGTGAACTGTCCGATCTCGCGTATCCACTCCCTCAGCTTAGCGATGAATGCTTTAGCCTTCTCTGCGTCAGTTCCTTCTTTGACGTCGAAAACACGCTCAGCAGCGCGTGCAAGGTTGTACTGGCGCTCTTCGATGAACTCCTCGAGGAGGAAAGGTGTGATGATTGAGAGTGTCGAAGCGTGATCGATTCCCCACTTGGCTGTCAGCATATGTCCGATTGTAGTATGCCGAAGCACTTGTCCTTTCCAAGTCCGAAGATGTAGTTCATAGCGAAGCTGCACACTTGGATGAGCCTCTCGTGGATTTCGAGCGAAGACTTGTCCTTGGAGAGGAGTGGTCCTGAGATGTCGACGAGCTCTCTCATGACTGAGAAGAAGAAGTTGTCCATCATCGGGAGAACGTGTGGTGTGATAACTTGATCTATGCAATGTGTCATTGCATCGTAGAGACCATTCCTGAGCTGTCTTATTGGTATTGTCATTGTGTATATCGGATCGAGCATCGAGAATGTTGGGTATATTGAGTACATGACTAGTTTCTCATGTGTGCTCCTCCTCGAGATGACAGCTCCGTCATTCCACTCAGAGCCTGTCGCTGGTATTGTGAGGACTGCTCCGATTGGTGTGATCTTCTCTGGCAAGAAGCCCTTCGAGACGATGTCCCAAGGGTCGACAGAATCGTCGATGTTCATTGCTGCTGCGATGAACTTTGTTGCGTCGATGACAGAGCCGCCTCCGACTGCGAGGAGCAAGTCTGGTTTGAAGTTCTTCGCGGAGTTAGAGATCTCCAAGAGTCTGTTGATCTCTGGGTTAGGTGGGATTCCGCCCTCCCAAGCTGTCTCGCACTCAAGGTCTGCGAGTGCTTTTGTGACATCTGTGCGAGCACCGTTCTTGTCGATTGAGCCTCCTCCGAATGTAACGAGGACGCGCGAATGAGGTTTGACGAAGTCTTTCAGGTGTTCGACGACGCAGTGTTCTCCGAATGCGATACGTGTTGTGTTGTTCCAGATCCACTTCATGAGATGAGTGAAGAAGAAAAAATGATATGAGTATTCAAACAATATTTGATAGAAAAAAAATTGAGAGATATAAGAAAAATCAAAATCTTACGATTTTTGATAAATTTGACTGTGTATTGTATATACGCTTCAATACTGTGAACTATTTAAGAGTGGTTGCATTCTCTCAATTTTATCGTTCACTCAAAAATGCAAATTTGCAGTGATTATATGCTTATCACATGTCATAGATGCATATGCGAAAGTCGATTATAATGATAAATAACTTCGAATTTGAGTCAAAAACGATTATTGTTAGAAAAAAAATATAACGGTTTTGAATCCAAATAAATGTGATTTTTTAACATCATATGATAAATATATTAAAATAGACACATCATTTGCAAAATCACAACAAAATACATCTTTCTTTCAGATTATTTCACCGACTTTGAAAAACCAAATTTCGAAAATCAAAAATCATAAATATGACAGTCAATATCATATCAGTAATCATCCAATTAAGTATGGTATCATTCAAAATCCTGATGTGATATAATGATCATATCAATTCAAAACGAAATTGATAAGATCTATAAAAGTTGATTAAAGTTATATTTATATGATCTTTATACTGTAATCAACATGTTGTTATTTAGTAGAATGTTATTCGAGTATCACAAACAATCGAAATTTGAAATTAAAATTTGAAATCATGTATTTATCTCATTTTATTCTAACAACCAAAATTATGCAGATAATTATTTACGTTCATCTATATGTCGTCCAAAATAATTATATTCTAATTAAGTCGAGATCTAAAAAACATGATACTGAGATCCATAACAGTTCTTATTTCACTCCACTATCTATGAGCTAGAGATTTTCTAAATTTCTCAAAGATTTTTAAATCATTTTGATTTTTCAAAATATATTGAAGTTTAAGACTGCTATGTAATAAAAATATTACTGCATTCCAATTAATATGTTATTGATCAATAATTTCATCAAAATAAAGCTAGAATTCTTTGATTTTTGCATTAAAAAATGAATTTCGAGAATCCAAAGTTTGATATTTATTCATAGAATTCTGTGTAGATTTAAAATATGTTATTTAAAATTTGGCACTGTGCAAAAATTAATTGAGACAAAAACTGCGACGATAAACTTGGTTTTCCTTTTCTATGGCTGATCAGGCTGTTATCATTAAGTGCCGTGTCTGGGGTGGTGAAACAGGTGTTACATCAAAGCTTGCTCCAAAGCTTGGTCCACTCGGTGTCCCAGCTCCAAAGGTTGCTCAGGAAGTCGCTAAGGCAACAGAGAAATACAAAGGTTTCCGCGCTACAGTTAAGATCACAGTCCAGAACCGTGAATTCAAGGTTGAAGTTGAGAACTCAACATCTACACTCCTTATCGCTGCTCTCAATGAGCCACATCGTGATCGTAAGAAAGTAAAGGCTGTCAAGCACTCTGGCTCCCTCTCCCTCGATACAATCATCGATATCGCTCGTACAATGAGACCAAAGTCCTGCGCTCGCAAGCTTGCCGGCACAGTCAAGGAAGTCCTTGGCACAGCTCAGGCTATGGGTGCTCATGTTGATGGCATGGATCCAAAGGAAGTCCAGAAGAAGATCGCTTCTGGTGAAATCCCAATCCCAGAACAATAAATGCATATTATTCTTCATATGGTAAAATTGTTCTCACGAAACAATAATCTCGTTTTTACTGAACATTATTTCATCTATATTGTTGATTTTGAGAAATGATATCTAATATCAATTTTGATTTTTTTAATATCTTGTGTTAATGCTTGCCTATTTCCCGTATTTGCTCAAAACATTAACTTTAAATATGATTTTCTTCTGAAATTCGAATTCAAGTTAAAGATAAAAAAAATCTCCTCCTTATATCCTTAATATTGGTATTTAATAATGATTTACACAAGAATTTTGAAATAAAACTGAAGGGTGGCTAACAAAGCGAAGTGTCTAAGCTCAAAGATTAGATAAGTTAGCACTTCTTCAGCATTCATACAGTCTAATTATGCATAAAATTATAGCATTATAACAATTCTGTATGTGGTTATTGTGAATTTGATTCATAATAGAGGAAATTATCGGAATGAAATAAATCGGCTGATATTCATGCTTCGATAATAAAATTATAATCCATGTTCATAGTATGCTTTAAACAAAGAGACAAACGCGTTGATTTATGAATTAGATAACACAGAAAATCAAAAAACGGAAAAAAATGGATGAACTTGAAATGATTCTGAGACTCACAGATATCTCCGCTGATGGAGAAGCTGTAGAATATAATAGATCTGGAAATCCCTTCATTACAGTATCAAGAGATACAAAAACAGAAACTCGTGAAAGAAGAAATAATAGATTAACCAGAGAACAACTAGAAAAATCACAACAAACATTAGAAGAGAGATCTGAGCTTTGCAGGCGAAGAGTTCCTTGTCTTACTACCCCAGCAACCACTGCTCATCAAAGTAGAGTTGCTTCGCGAGCAAGATCTCCTGCAAATGAACTAGATAATACTTATGATGTTTCTCAGCATAGAGGTAGGACAAAGACAATGAACGAAAAAATGTATCAAACTCGACAAATTTATTTAACCCAATTATTAATCAATAAAAAGCAAGCAGATATACAAAGACTTCAAAGAATTCAAAATAATACGGAATATAATACTAGAAAAGCTGAGCAAGATGTATCTGATGAAGCAAATGAACTTAAAAATTCGATGAACGTACTGCAAGCAGCATTATCTAAGAGCAGAAAGATTGCAGCCGAAAATGAAGTTCAATATTCTACACTTAAAAAGGAATTATTACAATTGCAAGCTAATTTTAATGCTAAATCTTCGATTATATCAAAGAATGAAGAAATTCTCGAGCAATACCAAGAATATGAAAAATTCCTGAAACTTTTCGTTCCAGAAACAGTAGATGATATATTTAGTTATTTTCATCACCCTTCTGTTCTCATTGAAGAAATGGAGCTACTTCAAGATGAAACACTTTCACTTGTTAAATGTTATTCTCATTATATGCAAGCTCAAAATGCAATTAATGAGAAAACGCAGAAAAAAGCCGAACAACAAGATATTGAAGAGCAACTTATCGAAGCGAGTGAAGTCAGAACTAAACTAGCACCTCTTGAGGATTATACTCCTCGAGCTGCAGCTAAACAAAACAATTCTTTAGATCAAGAATTAAATCGATTAACAAATCTGATCTCAGACACGTATAAAATGTGTTTTGGAAATGCCCCAAGCATGTCTCCAATCGCTATGCTTGAAAAAATTGAAACCAATTTAGAAAATATGATGAAAATTGAAGAAACTGTTTCATCGGAAATTCTTTTAGAAATAAAAACAAAGAAGGATGAAGAAAGAAAGCTAAAAGAACGTTTGGATGGCCAAGAAAAGAGGCGACTTGAACAATTGCGCAAATATGAACAGGCGCTTCAAAGAGCCAACAAGGCTATACCAAGACATGATAAAAGATTTCCAAAAGAAAGAATGCTTCCTGGTACACGCGTTCAAAAAGTTGATACGAAATCAGAGAGATTGGCAGCTCTTCGTAAGAAGGAAGACGAACTCCTATATGGGCCGTCAGACTAAATATAGATTGTTTGTATTATTGTTAATTACTATTTATTTCCTAATTTCAGTATCAAAATTTGGCATTTACAAACATCATCGCGTTTTGAAATAATAAGTTGTATACCTCTGCAGTAATGTTTGATTTTGTGATGTCGGTTTTTGATTTTACAACAAAGAATATATTGTTCAAATTAAAAAACAAGAATTTATTTAATAACATGATTTGTTGCAAATTGTTACTTGTTCAACATAATAATTTCCATTCTTTGATGGGGTAATGTTTAAAATTTTTCAAATTGTAAAACAAAATTTTATTGAAATCTTGTTAATTTGTTCTCTGTCGACAAATATTGCATTGAAGAACTATTCCAAAATCAGATATATGATCAACTTTGTAAACTTTTGATATGACTTTCGAAAAAAAGATCAACTCATGAAAAATGGGAATATATCATTATAAATGAAAGTCGCTCATTTTATTGATATATACTGAGTATGTGTATGCTAGAGAAGTAAGCTGTTCGTAATTTCTTGATTGGGAAATAATGGGAAAATCATTGTGATCCCCACAAAATTTTCACAAAAAATCAAAATTAGCATATTTGTTCATTTGCTTATGATACAACTTCAAGAAATTTTTTTGCCAATTAATTAAAACGATGAGTGAAATTTTTCGGAAGGAAGATGACAATGGGTCTCACACTTTTGATAAAAAATGATCCCCGTTTTAATTATAATTGTTCCAATGTGGTGGTTGCAAAATTATTCATTTTGCAAAGTTATTTTTTTATCCCTCAATTTGTGAGCATGATCCCGAATTTATATTTTGAAGTACATAATTATATGAATTAAAATGTTGTTACAAATTATTTGAGCGCCGACCAAAATTTAATTCAATATTCTATTGTAAAAATTGAATGACAATAACAAATTCATTTTTATCTAATGTCTCCAGTCCTTCCGCCTATCCAATCCCTTAGTGCCTATATGGGTGACTTTCAGCCAATCATATTAGATATTCTCAACAGCGCAGAAAAGCCACAACCTGTTGTTGAGAAGAAATTAAAGATAAAATACAATTGGACACCTCAAGAGGATTATTATTTACAGCAATTCGTATCAATGTATGGTACAAAGAACTGGTTCCTTATCTCCTATAAGATGGGTTCAAGAAATCCAAGGCAATGCCGCGAAAGATGGGAAAATTACATCAACCCAGAACTCTCTACAGATCCATGGACAGCAGAAGAAGACCAGCTTCTTAGAGAGAAGTACAGTGAATTAGGAACAAAGTGGGGAAAGATCTCCAAGTTCTTAAAGAATCGTTCTGCCATTGCAGCAAGAAATAGATGGTACCAACTATCTAAGATTGCTCGCAATTAGAGAATGCTATTGTTTATAAATCTTGTTTTTAATATTTTTATATAAATGATTTGTCTATCCGTTTAATTTCTTATGTTTTTCAAGCCAACATTGATTAAAAGTTACTGCAATTACTAACTTTATCTAAATGAAACCACATGTTGTATTAAATATATGCCCAACACCAAAATGTAATTCTGAATTCTCCCAAAGTCAAGAATTCTTGGTATTCGACTTATTGCTAGTGTATAGTATGGACTATATATGGGGTTCCATATTATAAATTCTACTAAGGCAAATTTTGACGGGTTTACAGTTCCCATTTGAAAAATTTTCAAAATATTACATAGAAAAATCGAAACGATTGTATAGTTTACACGGAAATATTTTAAACAATTTTTATTTATGCTATTATGGATCATTTCGGACAAGAATATGATCTATTTTGAGTGTACCATTAAATCTAAATATATAAAAAAAATTTATTCATACGGAACAAATGGGCGGAATCTTGCTTGTTCCTCCCTACAGAACGGACATTCGCTATGCTCAACGAACCAACTCTTACAACATTCGAGGCATATTGGATGTCCGCAAGGCATAATAACACTATCAATGTTATTTGTATAGCAAATAGGGCACAAATGTTCATCAGCACCCTGATTGAATATCTGGTGAAGCGTTTTCTCTATTGGTAAGTGGCATAATGGGCATTTTGTTGGTCTATCTTTTTCAGGAAGACTATCCCAGCATTCTGGGCAATAGATTGCATGGCCACAAGGTGAGAACAGGCAACATCTTTTAACTTTGTCGCACTTTAAGCACCTTTTCACTATAAAATTCTTATTTTCCATCTTTGCGAGGTTGTTTGCATGCAATTCGTAGTTTCCTACGCCAACAATATAGCTATTAATTACTTCTACTGCGTACTTTGTGTCTATACGACATATTTTAATATCATTTTCTCTCTGTTTCTTTGGCAATTCTAAATTAATTTCATCTGTCTTCATGTCATTGAAGTTATATGTGTATGTTTCATTAATAATAGGATTTCCGATGTCATTTCTGGCCAATGCCGTTGTGCAATTGGCAAATAATCTCCATTGACCTTTTTTGATCGGACTTGGTGAATCAGCGAACACAATTTCCGATGCAAAAATACTTGCACCGTGATGTATCCACATAAATGAGTTAAATGGTCCGATGAGCTGACATCTTGTAACGTGTAAAACAGCTCCTGTAAAGACATTGATGCCATGAGCTGCGCCACCAGCAATGATACAGTCCTCAACGTTTACGTCGCTAAGGTCGCAAACCTCTAAAGCTCCGTATTGAGTATCACCGATACAACAATTTCGAATTGTAATATTCTTAGAGTTGATAACTCTTGTTCCTGCTTCAGCGCATGTCCTAATTATGCAGTCTTCTATTACAACTCTGTTTGATGAGCGGACAATTACTCCAGACATCAAAGATTTCTCGAAAATACAGTGGGAAACGTATCCCATGGCCCCATCACAGAAGGCAAGCAATGGCCACTGTGATTCTTCGAAATGACAATCTTTGATAAAAGCAGCAGAATGAGATGAAGCGTTCAAACAGTTACCGTTGCATTTTCTCATGTATACATTATTAAGAATAGTCTGTGCATCGTCTAAAAGCACACATGTATCGCCGGAATTTATGATATCGCAGTTTTCGAGTTCAGTTTCGAAAGATTGATGAACTGCAAGGGCTCCTTTATGATTATCTGTGAATTTGCTATTGGTTACCTTTAGCGTTGAGTTAGCGTTGATAAAAATCGCAGTTTGCTGAGCGTTTTTGAATTCTGTGTTGGAAAAGACGAATTGGGATCGAGTATCAGCGAATGTTAAGTCTGTATCTGATTTATCTATAAGAGAATCGTAAACAAAAACTTTAGAATATCCAGTTGCAACAAGGCCAGCCTCTGAGCAATTTATGATTTTACAGTTTCGAAGTGTGATGTTAGAGGAGTCATCTGCACTAATTCCGTAAAGCATAGAATTTTCGAAAATTGTATTTTCAATTTCGATTCTGCTGTTTGTTGATGCTAATAAATAATCTACACCGGATTGTATTTCATGGATGCGGGAGTTTTTGATTGTAATGTATGAAGCAGTATTTGTGCAAATTCCTCCCTTTAAATTTAAGTCAATAAAGGTTACACTCATGCCTGCTACGACCCTTATCAGTTTACAAACATATTCTGTTTGAGAATCAAAAATTAATGTTCCAGAAAAGTTAATTATTATTGTGTTATCTAAATCTACTGTGGAAGGGGGTGTAATTCTGAACACATGGTTGTTGGACTCGCTTCCTAAGCTCGACAAATTATAAAAACTAACATATGACTCTTGAACATTCTCATGTTCTTGACTACTCATCCCTGACCAATTGTCACTTTTTATTAAATTTTTTTTTCATCAAAAATAGTGAAAAAAATCAACAGTTGAAAATATAATTAATAAATACACTTGTGACTGTACTAACTGGTTATTAGGTAAATAATGTTCATTACTCACTTTTTTCAATCAAACATCCCTTGATATAAAAAAATGGCATCTGATGTATATAAAATAAATACAGCTATGTTTGGGCTATCTGATTATTCGGGAAATAAGAGATGAATAGGGTATTGAAAACATGAAAGTTGTTTGATATTAAATCATATCGTGGGATATATTTAGGGTATCCTTAAAGTGATGAAATGTTAGATGATTTATTGATAAAGCGCATTATGAATTTTATCGATCAATTCTCATCTCGATGGTTGAATGCAGGTTATGCCGTATATGCTTATGATTGTCATCCTATATGATATTATGTATGTATTTCTTTACAAGCAATTCTTTGGTAATAAGATAATTTTGAAAGACTATAGAAATTATTTGTGTTCGATTTCCGGTAATAATAAGACTGAAAATAAAATTCTTAACATTTAATCTTTAGCTGTTATTTGAAGGAAAATGGATAAATCTCAATCGTTATCATATTAAAATACAAGATAACATATCTACAACTTTGAATAAATCAATTTTCAAATCATATTATATTTTCAATTCTATTCAAATTTGAGAATAATATCATTTCAATACCTTTCATATTGTATTGCATTTGGTTGAAACAGTTGATAATTTCTACTTTACAACGATAAACAGGGTTCTTTTGATTTTCGTTTTGAAAATCCATAAAAGTTTTATTCAATTCACGAGACTGCATGATAAAATTGACGTCCTATGGCAATATTGCAATTTTACGGCAATACACCCTTTGATAATTGTATGTTTTTCAACTTTTTGAATGAAGGGAAAACGATGATACTTAAAATTGAATGGGTGTGAAGTCATCATTTTTATGCTTTCCTCCTGCGCAACCCGCCGACTTAAAACTATTGTAGGAAATGGCAAACTCATCCGTAGTCTCAACCACGACCTTGAAGAGAATGGTGCTGTTGTATACGAAGACGACACCATCATTGATATCGGCAAGACAGAAGTAATGCGCAAAAAGTATGCCGGATCTAAGTACATCAATGCTGATGGTAAACTTATTATGCCAGGTCTGATCAATGCGCATGGCCACTACTATAGCTTCTTCAGCCGTGGTATGAGTCTCAAAGATCCACTACCATACACATTCCTTGAAGTTCTTGAAAGACTCTGGTGGCGTCTCGACCGTGCTCTTCAGCATGAGGATAACTATTTATCAGCCGCAGCTGACAATATTGCTGCTATTAAAGCTGGTACAACAACAATTATTGATCATCATGCATCACCAAATGCCATTGAAGGTGCACTTGATGACATCGCTCAAGCCGCTCTTGATGCTGGTGTTCGTAATCACATTGCTTACGAAGTCACCGATCGCAATGGAATGGATGGTGCTTATGCAGGTATCGAAGAGAATCGCCGTTTCATTGAGCGCTGCTACAAGAAAGACAAGAACCCAATGCTGGCCGCTTCATTTGGTCTTCATGCAGCTTTCACATGCAGTGATGAGACATTGAAGAAGTCAGTTGAAGCCCTCGCCTCAGTTAAAGAAGCTGCTGGCAAAGTTGGATTCCACATTCATGTTGCTGAAGGCAAGTATGATGAAGAACAATCATTGAAGAATCACGGAAAGACTGTTGTCGATAGACTCGTCGAGTTCGGCATTGCTGGCCCAGAAACAATTTATGGACACTGTGTTCATGTCAATGATCATGAACTTGATTTAATCAAGAAGACAGGAACAAACATTGTTACAAATCCAGCTTCCAACATGAACAATGCAGTTGGCCTTCCACGTGCAATTGATTTTGTTAAACGCGGAATTCCACTTGCTCTTGGTACAGATGGCTGCACATATGATATGTTCCAGGAAATGAAGTTCCTTTACTTCGGTAACAAGTTCATCAACAAAGACCCACGTGTTTTCGGATGGGAATCTGGTGATGTTCTCTTCAATGGAAACTCCAAGATCGCTTCAAAGGCCTTCCAGAAGAAGGTTGGAGTTCTCGAGAAAGGTGCATTTGCTGATATCATTCTTGTTGACTACCAAGTTCCAACAGTCCTTTCTACAGGATCACTCCCATGGCACATGGTCTTCGGCATGACAGGAGCAAATGTCCATACGACAATTGTTGGTGGCAGGACTGTCATGAGAAACCGTGAATTATTAAAAATTGATGAGAAGGAAGTCATGGCACGTGCTCGTGAGCGTACTCCAGGCGTCTGGGAGAGACTTTAAATCAGTATGATTTAACAAAAAAAATAGTGCTAAGATTAAAAGATTTTGATTCCAAAATTTTATATAAGCTTTAGAACTCAATAAAACAACAATAATTAGATTATTTATACTATTATATGTATATTCTCCAGGATTGGTTGATTCTTTTGTATAATCAAGCTTACAGTACGATTTAGTCGGAAACGTGTCATCGATACATTACTAGTTAATGGCACATTAAGCATCTACATGCATTCTAGAGCAAGATGTCTTATTGTTATTACCTAAAAACTTCTTGCAAATATGAAAGAAAAATAATCTTTTACAAACAATTAAAATTTTGAATGGCAATTAGTTGAGGCATTCAATATAGTTCTGCTGGAAGTCATTCATTATTGGAGGCTCTGTAAAATCATAGCCATCAGATGAAAAGTCAGAATAATCACATGAATATGATGTCGAATATTGATCAAATGTGATTTTTCCATCTTCTGCAAGTATGGCTATAGCTCCTTCGTTGTTTCCATCACAATAATTGGATGCGGAAAAAACTGTGAAGCAAATTGTTTCGCCTTTCGAGTTAGATAGCGAGTGCAAAAAGCCGTTAGAGCATGATTCATGGCCTCTGATAATGGACTTAAGGTTGCTATCCTGAAGGAACTTCTGTGTTTTCTCAGCAGAGAACACTTCACCAACTCCTCGAGGTGATGGTGCGGTCAATTCACCATCATCAAGATTCCTTGGATCGCCCCATACCAAATCTGACACGATCTGGTTGGAGTCAAAATTAATGATATCGAAGCGGTCAATGCTTTTGATATCATCAATATTATTGATATGGGAGGAAATACCGCCATGGCAGGCGAATATTCTGTTTGGAAGAATAGCTCCAAGTGGAAGGAAAGGAAATGTTGATGTTATCAAATCAAAAAAGATTTCACCACTATCTTCACCCATCCTTGAAACACACTCTTCATAAAATCCATAAACCTTGCACACTCTAATAAATTCATGGTTTCCTCTAATCATTGTGACAAAATCGGGGAAAAGAATCTTTAGGCACATAAGATAAAGGATAGTTTCGATAGAGTTATAACCTCTATCAACATAGTCACCAAGAAAGAGATACTTTAGATCTTTATTTGGAAGGCCATAAGTTTTGATGATATATACTAGGTCTGTGAAGTTTCCATGAAGGTCTCCTACTACAATGTACTTTCCGGTTAAACCTTCAACAACTGTCCCTTCGATTTCAAGTTCATTCATGAACTTATCGCATATATAAGTAATGTCAGCTACATCAGGTAAGGATGTAAAGAGAGAATCTATTGATAATTCTAGTTTTTCCATAATAGCACGTATCTTTTCGACTTCGACCATCTTTCGAAATTCAAAAACTCCTCAAAAAATTAAAACAGCATTGAATTTTGTAATTATGTCATATGGGTGTATCAAAAAAAAATATTGATTAGTGGTTATTACTCATTTTTATGTATAAAAGTTTTAAGAATCACGGATTTTCAATGTCTATATGTAAACTTTGTGAAAGGTTCCTTCTCAGCACGTTGTACTCTGGATGAATTTATGAAAGTTCTTAATACAGTTAAATTAATGATTTGATAAAAATAGATTTTACATTTTTGAATGATTTGAAATTTTGAATGTCAATATTATTTTGTTATTGATAAAAATGTTGTAAGACAGTTAAACAATATCATTAAATTCCTGTAAAATTTATTAAAAATTGAATGGGTTTTGAATTAAATAAGGAAAATAATATATGTAGCTAATACAATGTGAAGGCCTAATATAATTTTAACCTTCTCAAAATTCTGATAATTGAAATTTTTCAAAGGAAAATAAGACTTTTATACCAAAATAACATAATATAGAATACGAACAATGGTGTAATAAACAGAAATTCATCAAAAGTGACAGCTCTCAATTTTTTGACATTTGTAAATTCTAAATTGAATGAGAAAAATGAAATAATACTAAGCATAATACAATATTCTAGATTTAATTATAATTAGGAAAAGTTAGTTTTGAGAGTACTTTTCATAGGCATATAGAATGAAATCTTCTGAAAAATAATATCACATAAACTCATATTATTTTCTAATATATAACTATTTTATATAAAAATCAAATTCAATGCTCTTAAAAGCGAAGGATAAACCTCAAAATTTACGAATATAATGAGTGGGAATATAATGCTTATCTATCATAAAACCATATGAAATATCAATTTTTGCTTTACGCCTAATTTTTGACGACAATTAGCAAAAAATGTTAAATGTTAACACTCAGTCCATTTGAATATGAAAAATAAAATTGACTTTGATTAAATGTTTTTATTTATCATGCAATTCTTCTTGCGACCAAAGATTTGAATAAAAGTTCAAAAAATAAGATAGCTTAAAAAATAATATACGGTAGTGTTTACTAATAGATGAATAGTATATAAATTCTATTAAAATGGATTTGATCCAAAAAAATATATAAAATTTGATCATAAATAAAATCGTTTTAAATTACTTCTTCATTTAAATGATAACAATTATTTTTGGTTTTATATTTTTTTGGATCAAATCCATTTTAATAGAATTTATATACTATTCATCTATTAGTAAACACTACCGTATATTATTTTTTAAGCTATCTTATTTTTTGAAATTTTATTCAAATCTTTGGTCGCAAGAAGAATTGCATGATAAATAAAAACATTTAATCAAAGTCAATTTTATTTTTCATATTCAAATGGACTGAGTGTTAACATTTAACATTTTTTGCTAATTGTCGTCAAAAATTAGGCGTAAAGCAAAAATTGATATTTCATATGGTTTTATGATAGATAAGCATTATATTTCCACTCATTATATTCGTAAATTTTGAGGTTTATCCTTCGCTTTTAAGATCATTGAATTTGATTTTTATATAAAATAGTTATATATTAGAAAATAATATGAGTTTATGTGATATTATTTTTCAGAAGATTTTGTGTTCTTCTTCGAAATTTTATTTTTTTATTAAAAAGAATCTTTACAAAATATACATTTACTTTAATTAATATTTAAAAACGTGCTCTATCAAAAGTTCCAAAAATTCAATAGTTTAGCTTTTCTGAGGTGTCACTTTTGATGAATTTCTGTTTACAACAATGGAAGATACAAAAATTTTTATTAATGAATTCAAGGAATAATTTATTCCCTGTCTCATCCAGTATCATATCCTTACAAATCGCTATGCATCAGTCATGAAAAGTTAATTTACGATTTGAATGAAAACGCTAAAGTAGTTTTGATAGAATTTTTATATTTGACACTTTGTTTTATTGACTAGTAGACCTAAACAAATCAAGTATCATCATTAAAATTAAAAAATAAATTTGAATTGGGCTAGAAAATGAAGGAATACAAGGTTTCAATCGGAATTTTGTAAACTATACAAATGTTCTTTACAATCACATTCTAAACTTATCGAGCCTGATTCCTAAAATTCACATGGTTACTAATCTTTCTGAACTCCTCTTATTATGTCGAGAGGAAATATCGAAAAATAAATTTTTTCCAAAAATTTTGAAATCTAATTATGAATGGTCGATTTATGGGGCAAACCCAAATTTTAGCTAAAAGTGACAGGGAAAAAAAACGTTTAGTATTAAAAAAAAAGACCGATGAGAGCTTCGTTCGAAATATAGAGGGAACTGAGAATGCGCAACCATTCTCAGGGAATATTGGATGCTATTCCCGTTCCCTCTGTATGGAAAATTGAGGTTTTCAAAGGGAGTTAAAATAATATCAAATTTATACTAATTTACTTCAAAATACAAAAGTATTTGACAGCTAAAATTAGTTACTTTAGCAAGCCTATCAATACCCTTTTACGATTATTGTTACTTTTTCGAAATAAAAGTAAAAACAAATTTATACTAATTTACTTCAAAATACAAAAGTATTTGACAGCTAAAATTAGTTACTTTAGCAAGCCTATCAATACCCTTTTACGATTATTGTTACTTTTTCGAAATAAAAGTAAAAACAAATTTATACTAATTTACTTCAAAATACAAAAGTATTTGACAGCTAAAATTAGTTACTTTAGCAAGCCTATCAATACCCTTTTACGATTATTGTTACTTTTTCGAAATAAAAGTAAAAACAAATTTATACTAATTTACTTCAAAATACAAAAGTATTTGACAGCTAAAATTAGTTACTTTAGCAAGCCTATCAATACCCTTTTACGATTATTGCTACTTTTTCGAAATAAAAGTAAAAACAAATTTATACTAATTTACTTCAAAATACAAAAGTATTTGACAGCTAAAATTAGTTACTTTAGCAAGCCTATCAATACCCTTTTACGATTATTGTTACTTTTTCGAAATAAAATAAATTTATTATCAAAAACCTTTTTTTTCTTAGTAAAAATAAACGAAATTTTTTACCTTATGAACTTTTGATGGAAATATGCAAATTTAAAATAATAAAGAAAGCCGCGAGCGAAGCGATCGGCTTAGTTCGAAGATTTTGATTCAAATCTTTGCTGATCTGTAATTCGCGGAAGCCGCGAGCGAATCGAGCGGCTTAGGTCTAAGATTTTGATTCAAATCTTTGCTTATATTCCTTAAATTCTTTATGAAACTCGCAACAGTTCCATAAAAAATTTTAAATTCTAAACTGTCGAAATTACCGATCGGTAATCACACCCTTCACGGGTGTGTCACTTTTTACAGGCGTGTCACTTTTAGCTAAAATTACCCCTACTCCGATTTATGGTATCGAGTTATCTATTTGATTGATGTTATACATTTTGTTTATATTCTAATTTCCTTAGAACACTCTTTTACGCATCTGATCTTTCTTCATCAACTCCTTTCTTTAAAATGGTCTACGACTAACTAATTATACTCGCGTTATATTTGGTTAACCTTACAAATAGATCTGAATGTAAAGATATCCTTTGACTCAATTGATTTACTAATGAGTCATAAATTGATCTTGTATTGTGACGACATCGTTCTTCCATTCTAGTAAGCTATCTGTACATGATAAATCAATTATGCTTTTTGAAATTTTTATTGATTTTTATCTCTCAAAAATACCATAAAACGTACCTCATTCATTTGTAACATGCATTTTCTTCATTCAAATCTATTTGCTCAAATATCAATTACTATAATAGTTATTTTGTTCACCTTTCACATAATTAATCCAATTTTAATGTATAATGCTATCATTTTATTGTCTTAGATATATAAACTCATAATATGTACTGAACAATTGACGGTAAACACTGAAATTAAAGCAAATTAGATAAAATTATTTTGAATTAAAGCTATTCATGTGCAATTTCCTTCCAAAAAGATATATGTATCTAAAAATAAACATAATGGCTAATATAATATTTTTCAAAAACCTCCAAAAAAATTTCAAAATTGAAAAAATGATAATAATTTCAACATTTTTAGACTTCGAGAATTCGTTTTCTAAATTTCATTAAAATCTTCGGTCAAGCAGAAGTCCCGCTATTAGAGGTATGGCCAGGACAAGCTCCGTGGTTCAATCTCAGTAAGAAGCTTGCATTGCTTTCTTACATGGAAGGCGAGTATCGAGGACAATTATCTCAACTTAATTATCAAAGACAGTTTGTCCACAAGTTATTTGATCGAATGTTTGAGATTATATTCGAGAATCTCAAACGTGAATATGCTTCAATATCAAAAATACCTTATGGCGATATTGATAGAAAGATATTAGTCGAATACCAACAAAAGCTCGAATCGCTAAAGAAAGATATAATTATCCATCAACAAAACGAATCTTTACAAATAACTCAATTAATTCACGCTCAAAAAATTGAAATTGACCTGTTGTTACAACGAAATGAAAAAAGATTTTCAAAATTTGTGAATATGCATCATGATTTAGAGGAACTAATGAATAGTACAGAAGGAATCATCTGCACTACCAAAAACAAACTTTCGGAAATTTATCAAAAGAGAATAAGAGATTTTGATAATGAACAGAATGAAAAAATCAAACTTCTGAACGAAGAGTTTACCGATCGATGTACAAAAATATCCGAGGAATACAAGCAGAGATTAATGTCTGCTCTTGAAATTCCGGAAAGAAAATCTGAGGTTCCTCTAAGCTCTTTGAAAACTCAGATAGCGATATTAAGAGAAAACGTGGAAACTTCGAAAAAACAATATAATGATATAATGAAAGCTTATAAATCTTTTTCAAAATTTCCTTCTTTAGTTCTGAAAGAGTTATTTGACTCACTCAATATTCATATAAGTGATTCGATAAAATCACAAGTACAAGAACATTATGATAATAACGTTAAAATCCAAAAATTATATCTCGAGTATTACGAATCAAAATTTAACCATAAGCTAAAAGATCACGATTTATTCATTACAATGCTAAATAAACGCGATTTACTACTCGATTATCTTTGTAATTTGCGTGTTCTACCTCAAGATGAAGCTCGAGTCGAAAATGATACGAGTCAACAAGAGAAAGAAGTAGAAATACTTGATAAAGAATATACTACTTTTCAAGAAATACTAAACAAACGAATATCTGAATATGAATTACGATTCAAAGAAGAAATCCAACAAAAGCAATTCGAATTACAACAAGAACACGAATTAGCAATCGAGAATATTTCATTACCTACTACATCCGACTTAAATGATTATAAAAGCGAATACGATGCTCTTACAAAGATATATCAAAATCTAGAAACAGCAGAAATTTCAACGAAACCAACTACAGAAGATGAAATATTATATTACAAGCTTAAACTAGAATTAGAAGCTACAAGAATATCAAGAATAAAAATACAAGAAGCAACAGATACAATCAATTCTAAATTACAATCAAAAGATACAATACAGATTACCTTACTACAAAATAAGATACAACAAGAAGAGTCTAAGGCTCAGTTTCTATTAGAAAATCAAGAAAATTTTTACAAAAGTAAATTGAAACATCAAGAAGAAAGTATAAAGAACATGAATGAATACATTGACAAAATGAGGACAATTCATAATAATGCATTAGAAGATCTCGATCAAGTTTTCAATGATCAGTTAGATTCTGTCATTGAAACTCATAATCAAGAAAAGCAGATTATCATGCGAGAAGATCCAGAAGTATCTAAAGCAATTGATCATCTTAATTTTGCGAGATCAAAAGCATCACTCTCAGATAGCGCTTATATCGCTTTCTTAGAGAGATATATCTATCAAACTGCTATCAAATGATCCAAATAAACACATTTGTTTGCAATCATTTTTATTTAAAGTTATTTTTTATTCAAAATATGAGTATTCGGGAGAAATTATTTGTGATTACAAAAGGAGAGAAAAGTGATTCCTAATCCAGTATTCATTTAACATTTTTCTGGTGAATTCATTAACATTCAATACATTATTGTCAATGATAAGATGGTTTAAGTATAAATTTGATGGAGAACAAATGTATGAGTCCGACATCGTTCATCGGTTAGGATAAGCGGTTCTCATCCGCTCGAGCGGGGTTCGACTCCCCGTGTCGGAAAACTTTTTTTCATTTTCAATAATCGTCTATAAACGAAAATTGTTTATAATTTTTTTTAGATGCATCTTGCAAAGGTTATTCCTCTTTCAGAAATTCCACTATACAAGATGGCATTTGATGGATTTGATACTAATCATACAGGAAGAGTTGATAAAGCATACTTAGAACCTCTTCTTCGTGCATTGGGATTTAATCCTCAACAATATGAAGTTGAAGACATGAAACTCGATATCGGAAAAGATAAGACATTCGATTTTGACTCATTCATGCTTATTGTTTCTCGTCATTCTAGAGCAGTTGATACAGAAACAGAATTAACAGACATTTTCAAGACATTAGATAAAAATGGATCAGGCAGAATTCCAGCAGATTTGGCCAAAAAGATCCTACAAAATACGTTAAATCCTCTCAAAGATGATGAAGTTCATGAAATATTCCAGAAGTTAACTGTAGACGAAGACGGAACAGTACTGTATAGCGAGCTCGTTCAGTCAATGCTCGGATTTTAGGACGATAATTCTTTTTTTGTTCGGTATATATAATATAGCCATCAAAAACGTTGTTGAAATGGCCATTATCAAGCATAAAATAATTGTTTTTCATTTTATTTGCAAAACTTAGTTATTCTTTTATACAACTAAGTTATTCAAAATTCTAGTAGTAGATGTGTGCGGGTTTAGTGACTTTTTTTGTTGCATCTATATATAGACGATACATTAAAATATATTTATTTATAAATCATTAAAAAAATTAACATTAATTTTAAAATAATTTATTTTTTTATCTTTTATAAAAGAATCTATATATAGATGATGTCAGATATTCCGCGATTAATTAAACATTGTTTAAATCCTGAATGGGTTAAACTTCAATTTAAAAATGAAGATTGTGAATTATTAAATGAATATGAAAGCCAAAATAAGCTAATGAGGTATAAATATAATGATAAAGAATATTTAATTTCATGGAATCAATGGAGTCATAATCAAAGACCTCATAAACGAGAAGAAGAAATTGAAAATAATGAAATGGAAATCATTGATGACATTAAAGAGGATGGAATTCCTAAATTTTGTAGAAAAACCTTTAGAACTAAGTTAGGAGCATATAAACGTAGAGTATTAAATCCTGAATATCTTAAACATTTATTTAAAAAGGAAGACTGTGAATTATTAAACGTTAATGAATATGAAAATGCTAAATCAAAACTGAGATATAAATATATTGGAAGTGATGAAAGGTGTAAAGATAAAGATAAAGTTTATTCAGTTTCATATAATAACTGGCACACGTTGGGGATAAGAAAACATTTAGGAGATTATGGTAAAAGTTCCGAATTCTTCAAATCTAGTATGTACGAGAGAATAAAAGAAATCAGATATAATTATCATTCATGAATGAAAGATTCACTACCATAATGAAATAAAAAATAAAAATATATTTATTTATAAATTATTAAAAAATTAACATTATCATTCATGAATGAAAGATTCACTACCATAATGAAATAAAAAATAATTTTTTTAAAAAATAAACTTTGAAAAACTAATGATTATTTGAATTTATGAAATCAATAATTTGATTCATTCGCTCTTCAATAATTTCTATTCTTTTTGTTAAATCATCAATTTTCATTAATGAGGTGATTCTTGATTGAGGAATAGATTTTAAACTAACAACACCTTTTATTTTTGAAATTTTGAATCCATGACCCTCCGGGTCTTGGACTCTGTCCTCAACTTTAAACATTTTATTCAATTTACATGTTGTCAATTCTTCAAATAATTTTTTATTATTAGCATAATAGTCATTAAATTCATCAACAGATGAAAAAATTTTTATTTCAGTAATTGGTTTAACAACATTTATTTTTTGTTGAACATTTTCACTTTCATTTATTTCTTCCTCCTTTGTTTCATTTATTTTTAAAATCGGTTTCATTTATCATTAAATAAAAAATTAGAATATAAGTGATGAAATATATTTTTTAATTAATATTAAATCAGAAATGGCGGCAGGATTCTTTAAAAAATTATGGGATGGAATTAAGAAAGCTGCAGGTTGGGTTTATAAAAAGGTTATTAAACCTGTTGCAAACTTTTTGGCACCAGTAGCGAAAACGGCAGGAACTATCATAGGTGGAGTATTAGGTACAAAAGCAGGTAATCCGGCGATGGGAGCACAAGCAGGTAACGCAATTGGTGGAATTGCTGAAGGAATACTTAATAAAATAGGGGGTAAATAGTGGAAAAATAAATAAATATTATTTTTATCTTAGTATTGGTTGTAGTCGACGATAAACTTATCTCCTTTATTTAATACTTCCTTACCGGAACATTAGGTGCTATTGTTCAGCAACGTCACTAATTGCTTCTTTATTCTTAAATATCCAATTTGCTCCTTTCTTAATTTTTCCCAAACTTTATGCGCTCCTCTTTTTACTTTATCCCACAGTTTCTTAAAAAATCCTGCAGCCATAGTTGATTATTTCATTAAAATTAAAAATTCATTTTCATCTTTTAATTTTGATTTTTTATTTAATAATAAATGACGACTAACTATTTAGTGCCAAACACTAAACCGATTAATGGAAATGTGTTTCATTCATTCGAAAAGATAAATGAAATATTCGCAAAGAATGACGGTAGAAGATATTATAGAGAACTTGAAAGTTCATGCTATGACTCTGATGCTCTATATTTTGATGATAAACAAACTCATTTAAGAATTACAAATCCGGCTCATGATGTGAACCAATTAGGTGACACATATATTAAACGCAAAGTTAAAGCAACTCTAGTTTCAAATAAAGCTTTCACATGTGATGCCGCTTTTAAATGCATGCGTTTATTCGTTGGTTATAAATCATCAAATCAAAGCTTTAAACAATTAGAAGTAGAAACCGAAAGAGGTGATGCCGGTTATCTTCAGATGGATTGCGCCCGTGAATCTTTCGCATTTGCAACATATAAACCAAAATCAGAAAGGAAAGTTAAAAAGTTTGTTCATTCGTTATATAATAATGTTCAAAAATATGATAACTCAGTATGTGGTAAATATATTGACCCTTCAGAAGTTTTCAAGAAAGCAAATGAAGAAGTTGATGTCACTTTTGATATGATTATTCCGGTAAATGATTTGTTAGCATTTCAGGCGTTCGATGATTATCCTAAATCATTTGGTGAAATCATTCTTAAATATTATGTTTTCAGGGATACTTTAGTATTTTGTCAGGTTGACCCGTTAAGAGTTGCTGATTTACAAAATTACGTTTATGAAAAGATAACTGATGAAAATTATGAAAAGATTATGAATCATGTTTATAAATATGATCGCAAATTCCAACAAATCGGACTTCCTGCCAAATTAATTACAAGCTTAGCCACTACATCTGCTGACGCAACAGTTGAAGACGTTATTATTTCATGCACAAAGATGGAAGTTTTAGAGGATAAATGCATTACACCAGGATACGGTTTAATTGAAGAATCAGTTAAAGCAATACCACGTTTATTTAGTAAGGAAGATCCATTCATGATTCCAGCTCAACATATTGACGTTCGTTCACTAAATGGAGGTTGCATCACTCCTGAAGGTATTAGCTCAGATTTCTCATACGCTCTTCATAATGTTACAGATGTTGTGTTAGCATTTCCGAAGAATGCAATGCAAAGAACAGTTTTAGAAAATCCAATGCTTCGAGGTCTTCAGGTCACTATAGATTCCAGAAACTTCCCCGATCAAGCGATGACCACAGTGGGTGCATATTCTTTACACGTATGCTTCAAGCTTCTGATTTAGATGGAGTGAATGAATGCACAGAAGAATACGAGGACTCATTAACTAGACCACTGAATGATGATAATGGCACAATTAGCTAGAACATGGAAAGACCAAACTTCATTCTTATGCACTATTCCAGTTCAACGTGATGGAGCGGGTATATTCTTTGATGGATTAGAAACTTTCAACTCACAAGTTACAGTACAAGTGAAAGCTTATCCAATCATTCAGGGTGAAAATGACACTTACTGTTCAAAAGTGACAAATCCTCCTCAGGTTTGGTTTACTAGGACTACATATTGGACATGGACACCGGATGAAGGTTTGAAATATCATCCAACAGGTACACCACCACAGTATAGAAGTTCATATGATGAAATATTGATGAATAGAAATGTTAAAATTATAAATTTATTTTTGATTAAATGGATTTAAATCATCTTATGAAGAATTAGCAGGAGTATATAATACATACGTAGATGATATGATTAATGAAGCATTGAGTGATAATAGAAATGCTCTATCTAAGGAAAAATTAATGAAAATTCCATATTCTGAATGTTACTTAAATTCAATCACTGCAGCAATTGGTAAACAAAATAAAGGTAAAACATTAACGATATTAAAACAAATTATCATTATTGCTAACACTTCCCCCATTCACATGTGTTAATTTATATCAACCGTTCAGGTTCACCTTCAGATGATACATTTGAATCTTTAAAGCATTTAATCAAAATTCCAATTATTTATTTATCACAAGAAGAAGCAGAAGATTATTTAAAAAACTTTGTAATGTATAAAGAATTATATAATACAATCAAGAAGCAAGGATTAGAGGATAAAATTATTGATAAACAACGGGATGAATTATTTGAAACACTTTCTATTTCAAATTTTGATAGAGAATTTTTGCATTCACTCATTTTTCTAGATGATGCGGTGAAATCAAAACTAATAACAAATGAGAAATCATATTTTAATCAGTTATTAACTCAATGTCGACACATTCAGTGTTCATTCTTCATGGCTGTTCAATACTTTAAAGCATTAAGCACAAACATTAAATCAAACCTGTCCACCCTTTTCATTTTCAGTGGTTTTAGTCGTCAACAGTTGAACGTTATGCTTTATCAAGTGAATTTACCAATGAGCATTAATGAACTTTACACACAATATCAACAATTAGGAGAACATGGAAAAATAATAGTTGATTTAAATAAAGGTTCCATTAAATTCGAATAACTTTTTATAATTAATTTTTATTTTTTATTTATAATTAAACATGACAGAAATAGCAAATCTTCTACAGGTTCCATTAAAACAAGGAACAAACAAAAAGGGTGCATATAATAGAACTATGAAAGTTCCAGACGGAATGAAAGAATTAGTCCACATTGTTGCCGGTCTTCAAAAGGATGTTAAACAAATGAGAAACGTTTTAACATTACCAGAAGCTCAAGCATATGCCAAACGTCACGGACCAAATTGGGAAGCACACGAAGCAGACATTACGGGTCCAAATGGAAAACCTGATGGAATAAATGAAGTTTTCGTTACTGATGGTCAAGGAAATATTAAAGTCATAAATGGGTATAAATTAACAATGACGGATTATCCTAAACGTAAAGCATATAATGAACATTATCCTATGCAATTTGATGAAAATGGAAAAGCTGTTAAACAATACATTGGAGAAGGTGAAAATGGTCCAATTAATTCATAC